AAAGAAAGTGCTCCAGAACAACTTGATTGCCTACTTCAACACGAGATCATCAAGATCAGTTGAAAAACATGTGTTTAGCCTACAATGACAATCGAAGAACATTAGAGCAGCTCCTGTTGTCACTGGCGAAAAACATTCGCCATTCCAAGTTAATCAATCTGACAATGAACTCATTAAACTGAGTGAACTGATTATATAATTTTACACATATAACTTCTTAGCTATATTAATACAATATATATATACACTCTCAGGTTGTGTTTGTTCATTATTTGTGATGCATGTGGGGAATTGCCCTATTGGTTACAAAACAGATGTGGGGAAATGTCAAGATGGGGAAATGTCCTAGTGGGGATTTGTCCTGATGTGGAATGTCCGTACACCGGTAGGTAAATAGACTGTCCGTCTGTCTCTTAGCCGTGGAGATCCGGAACAGAATAGGTTTTGAGTAGCCCACGCTTGTATCGTGAGAGACGACTAACAGGATTACTCGGTCAGGTTCTGAAAGTCTGTTTGAAAGGGGTAAGGTAGCCTTGCTACAAGGCTGTACTGAATGCTAAGCCCATGGATGAATAGTAATTCTATCCTTTAAAGATGACAATCTAGATAAGGGGACAGTACAATCTAAGGACGCCAGTCTGTTATTTATATTTTTTTAAAATTATCATTTAAACTATAATCATTACCTTACAGACTTGTGCAAGTCTAGGGTACAAGCATCTGTAATTTAACGTCACATAGAAAGACGAAATAAATTGAGCTTTGATCCCGTCTCCATTAAAACTAAATCTATTAATGTAGTTTATCATATCGAAGTTATATGAATATGTTATTGACGGTAAATCACGTTTCGGGCCAACGCCATAGTGAGACCATTTGCTCTTTCTTTCGATCACTGGTTTTTCTCATCCACAATCGACTATAGTAGACATGCCTTCGTCATAGCCGATATACTGCTGACTGGGATGTATAACAACAAACAAAAATAGACCATTCAAGTTTTGTGTATTTGGGATATGTTATACAATAACTTAAGTTAAGTGTAAAGTTCCTTCATATCATACATCCAACACGTTTACCGTGAAAATTATCGTTCAGGAACTGTAAGAGTCTAAATGGACGTTCGAGTGGAGTGGTGTGTTCGACACCCTATGTGTTTGTCCGTCTCCCACACCCAAAAGAATATACTGAAAAGTAATCCAACGCTCAAGCCCAGAGTGAGTGAGTGGATTAATTTAAAGCCACTTTTAGCAATATTTCAGCAATATCACGGCGGGGGACACCAGATATGGGTTTCACACATTGTACCCATATGGGGAATCAGAACCCAGGTATTAGGCATGAACAGCGAACGCTTTAACCACTAGGCTACCCCACCGCCCCAAAGCCTTTAGTCACTTGACAAAGCTAGATTGCCTCAGCATGAAATTAAAATATTCCTTTATATTTTGTTGATTTTTAAATAGGTTAACCTAATTTCTGGACCGACATGACATTCTACCTTCATGATAGTCTCTCGTACCTTCATGAGTGTAATGCATGAAGTTCACTTCTAGTGTCACAGCAGTGGTAGGCTAACGCTTGCTCTCTGAATATATATAATTTTGACAGTAAGAAATAATCCCATTTAAATTGAAAAGGAGCCCCAGTGAGATGGGAGATGAACCTGAGCAAATGTAGACTTGCTTCATTTAGGTCTTAAACATTGCAGGGAACGAGGGCTCGACAGTAAGGAAAAAAATGCGGCACGGGTACTGTGAGGCAGACTACAGCAGTGGTATATATTGCGGTAGAGTAAATAGTAGTCTCCGAAATGAACATAATTTACAGAAAGAAAAGTTTATAGTAAAAAAAAATGAATATAATGAAAAGGAGCCCTGAAGCTGTGGAAATCTAGACTTGCCACATTTTCTAAACTTGCGCTTTCTTGGATGTATTTGCTTCAGGGTCTGTATGACAGACTAGTATTGCCGGGATATTGCTAAAAGCGGCGTAAAACTTTCCTCACTCGCTCATTGGATCTAAACGTTTCGCGAGAAGTTACGAACGAAGATATCTGTCCAGGTTCGTTGAGACTGGAATGTTTAACAAGCTCTTCTGTTGATGTAAATGAGTCACACAAGCCGAGATGATCTCTAACGAAGTAAACATGGCTTATTTACAAGTGTAAACTCGGGAAGACTGGGCTCCGGTTGCCGGGACAGGTCTTATCTGTGGAAGGAATGTAGTTCCGACACAAACAACGTGTAAAACAGGGCCAACGTGACCCCGGGGTCATGTACAGACGCTCAACCAAGTCACGTGACACCTGGGTCTTTTCTTGGCCCAATGTCTTGTCACATGACCCCTGGGTCATCTCCCGACGCCCGCCGTGTCAGAGACAGGAAGCGGAGGACTTTAGCCCGGTGAAACGCCCTTGACATTCATGAGATATAAGTAGGTTTATCTACCTACGCCCTGTGACGTCAGAAGTTGCCACATCCCAGTGATTTCAAAAGAATTACGAAGTTTGTCGGGCAATATGATATTTGCTAACATGTCTATGTATGACTGATGAATCATTTTATAGAGATGACAAAACTTCACGGAAGATCACTTTCTTTATTTTCACGATAGCGACGTTTCGGTATAGATTCTTATACCGTTTTCAAGCATGAGTATAAGAAGCTATACCGAAACGTGGTATTGTGAAAATAAAGAAGTAATGATCATCCACAAAGTTTTGTCATCTCTATACCACCGACGTCTAGAATGCGACTCAAACAAATGAATCATTTTATAGTTATTGGATTTATATAATCAGGTAATATTTTCAAAACTCAACATTGAGAACATGTTAATACGAGTACATGTATGTATAACACGGGTCATTAACCTTAATATTTGGCTTAAAAAATAAATTATAATTAAATTATGTAGCAGGGCTCCAGATAAATTTTCAACATCAGGAGTACCTGCTCCATATTTTTTCAATATAGGTGTACTGAAAAACTTAGAGTACATTTAGAGTACTGAATGGAAATTAATGGAGATTCAGTAATCGTGTGTTTCGTTTCATACATGCACCTCAACATTGCTACTCTTGTGTAAACAGGTCAATAAACAATAAAACAATTCTTTTTCAGATACAATGTACATACAACTGTAAATGATTCTAAGACCGTACACCATTGCTGTGGTGCGTATCTACTACGTTTTCTAAATTATTTCCTACCGTATCATGCATACTTTTTATCCGTACATACGCCGATACGGCCTTTATCTGGAGCGCTGAATGTAGCATATTGTGTTCATTCAATATTGTGTAATAAATTATCTCTAGGCATACACAGTTTTGCTGTCAACCAGTTTTGCTGAGGCCATATACGTTCAGTGCCATCATCGGTCATCCAGGGTATAATGTTATCATAAATACCCTCGACCCATGCGCTTCGAATGTAACGTCATCCTCTCAATTCGTCTTATTGCCAGTTTTTATCTTGTGTCGTTAATTGTTAGTGTATTATGTAATTCTCCTTGATCTAGTTTTAGCAAATATGTGATGACCTAGTGATTTTATTGTCCTTCGTTGACAGGGTTTTATAAATTATACGTATGTTCTTTCAAATTTAGAACTAATTTATAGTCACGATACCTCTGAAAAATTGCCGATATGACCATAAATTTTAACTATCTCGCTCACTCTCAATTCGTCTATCACAGCATTTATCTCGCTAATGAGATTTACAGGATTGAAAATCTATATTTAGTTTAATCTCGGGTAAAAAAGAAGCAGTTGTACTGAATAAGTACCCGTGAAGGTCCGGGTTAGAATGAACCTTCAGTAACCCATGCTTGTCGAAAGAGGCGACTAACGGGATCGGGTGGTCAGGTTCGCTGGCTTGGTTAACACAAGTCATCGGTTCCCAATTGCGCAGATCGATGCTCACTGGATTGGATTGGTCCAGGCTCGATTATTTACAGACAGCCGCCATAAAGCTGGAATATTGCTGAGTGCGGCGTAAAACTAAACTCGCCTACTCACTGAATAAGTATTTACCATAATAGAATTGAGACAAATATCCCGAATAATCGAACATCTTAAGTGGAACCGTCAAAAATTGACTGTACACTTTCTAACATGCTAATGTACCCTTCTTCGCCACTGCAACTGACATTATACTTTTGTTATGCAGTTTCTTTTGACGGTCTAGTTACCCACGGGGCTTTGCACATTGTGCTCATGAGACGAATCAAACCTGACTCTTAAGCATGATAATCGAACACTTGAACTGCCAGGCTACCCCGCCGCCCCTCAGTTACAACTGTGCCATAGGCCGTGTCGAGGGTTTCTAGGGTTTCAAGACCCCATGCATGGGCGATGATATTTATCACGCATTTTACGCAACGTAGGGAGCGGTAGGCAGAGAGGGGGAGAATAGAGGGTTATGAACATTCTGACACACAGAAGATAAAACTGAAGAGCATATATATTCGAACTCAACTTATGCATGCAGAATCTAAATTCGGTATTGTGACAAATCCCCAGTGTTAAATACGCATAGATGTTGACGATAATTCCCAATCCAGACCCCCGCACCCAAAACACACACACACACTCACTCACTCACTCTCACATTATAATAATGACTTAAATGAAATGAACTTGTAGTTACATGAAATCACTCTTTTGCACTCTACAAAGATCATTTTTGCTCATTTTTTACACAAAATTAGTAACTTCTTCAAGCATCGCGTTGGTATAAGTTTTTCAGTTTTTAGCATTGTTCCGATGAAGTCTCGCATGAGGCAGCATAGTCAAAGGGGGATAACTCTGATATATGCACAAGGATGTCGCTACCAGCTGGATGTTTCACAGGTAAGCGTTAGAAACACCCATAATACATAGACGTGTATCAAACGTATCTAATAACATATATATCCAAAAACAATGACACTTGTTTCTGTATTTCTATTTACCGAACTTTCGTCAACACTCGCCTCTTTCCGTAATCACTACAGCCTAGTTTCGCTTTCGGTTTGACAAGTCAGGTGAGGTTATATCATATCAAAAGCGAAAATAGTTTCAAAGAATGGGCCAAACCCAGGCTAACAGAAATCACATCTAGTTATGTGAGGCACAACAAAATTGTGGTAAGTATAATGACCCAACAATATCTCATATTTTGATGAACATATTACCACGTATCTTGCATAGCCTGTGTACAACGAAGTTCTCTGCCGAGTCCTAGGCTGCGATCAACAACAGAGTATGCCAACCAATTCCAAAAGTTAAACATAATTGTGTGTGTCTGTGTGTGTGTGTGTGGAAGGGTTGAGTGGAAGTGGTGTAGAAGCTAGTACTAATGTACAATGTGAATGGTCTCTAATATAATGTACTTTTTTTAGTATCATACACCTCGCGTTGGTATAAGTTTTACAGTTTTTAGCATTGGTTCCGATGAAGTCTCGCATGAGGCAACATAGTCAAAGGGGGATAACTCTGATATATGCACAAGGATGTAGCTACCAGCTGGATGTTTCACAGGTTAGCGTTAGAAACATCCATAATACATAGACGTGTATAAAACAGATTTAATAACATATATATCCAAAAACAATGACAATTGTTTCTGTATTCTATTTACCGAACTTTCGTCAACACTCGCCTCTTTCCGTAATCACTACAGCCTACTTTCACTTTCGGTTTGACAAGTCAGGTGAGGTTATATCATATCAAAAGTGAAAATAGTTTCAGAGAATGGGCCAAACCCAGGAATCACATCTAGTTATGTGAGGCACAACAAAATTGTGGTAAGTATAATGACCCAACAATATCTCATATTTTGATGAACATATTACCACGTATTTTACATAGCCTATGTACAGCGAAGTTCTCTGCCAAGTCGGCTAAGGCGATCAACAACAGAGGTTGCCAACAAATTCCAAAAGTCAAACAGATTTGTGTGTGTCTGTGTGTGTGTGGAAGGGTGGAGTGGAAGTGGTATGAATGCCCCCAATATTTATGTACAAAGGAAGTGACCCTCTGCATGTCATGAAGACTTATCAATGACGACCCCCTAATCATTGTGTACAAAATTGATGACAAGATGACACCCCCAAACCCCATAACAAACACCCCCACCCCCACCCCTTCAAATCGTCACCACCACACCTAGCCATAGCTTTTGAACAGTCTCTAATATAATGTATCATACACCTCATACTGATATGACACTGGTTAGTATGTGCAAAGGAAATTACATTGTTCTCAGGGATTTAATAACCGAGCCAGTATTCCTCCCCACATGATATGAATATATATTTTTTAAATGTGGACATCAGCCCTTGTGAAAAGAAGTTGGACTTACTGCCCTTGTTAGTGTCATCTGCCAAACTAGCCATATCAACCTTCAACATCCATATCAACCTTCATTGCCCAATATCATCCTTCAACACCCAGTGTCAACCTTCAGCTCCAAATATCATCCTTCAACGGCCAGTGTCAACCTTCAACGCCCATATCAACCGCCTTCAGTACTGCAGGGACACACCCCCACTGCATTGAATCAGTAATTGCATCCCCAGTAGTGATAAACACTCACGAGGGCAGTGGGGTAGACTGGTGCTTAAAGTATTCACTCGTCACACCTGAAGGCCTGGCTTCAATTCCCCACATAGGTTCAATGTATGAAGCCCATTTCTGGTGTCTCCCGCCGTGATATTGCTGGAATATTGCTGAAAGCAGCGTAAAACCATACTCACTCACTCTCCAAAGACTCCAGCTGTCTGTCACTGGTTTCTGCAGTGATGATTCCAGGTTTGAATCAAAGGGGGGCAACTCTGGTATTTGTATGGTGCAAGGCAGTGATGAATAGGAAAACTTTCTGATGTTTGATGAAATTGAAATACCTTTATAAGCATCTGTAATTCATGGACATATTTTATGACATATCCCCAAAAATGACAGAGATCTCAATATTTTTATTCCCCATACATTCTTGACTTATATTGTTTAGAAGCTCTGAGAAATATATTCGATTTGATTATTATAATTTTGCAAGCTGGGAAAAATATATTCGACAAACCATAAGGCCATAAAAAAGTAGAAGAACTGATATAATTTATCATATACCTATCAATGATATGACACATGTTAGTATGTGTGATAAGGATTAAATAAACATGATCTTATCACACTGGTTTATTAACTAGTCCTGTGCTGTCTTTTAGTGGCATTTAGAAGTTGTACATAGATGTCCAAGATATTTTTATGGATTAAACTTCTTTTCTAATTTTTATCCTGTGCTGATAGTGAGATAACGGGAGATGGATATCAACCCTTGTGGTGAGAATTGGGAGTTATAACCCTTCTTAGTATCATTTTCTCAACAAGCTTTCCTGTTTAATGTATTCCAAACAATGTTAATATGTGTTGCCATCAATTACAATCAGATACATTTCACAGTTATATTTAATGGTGTATGTAAAAATTTCAGTTTTTATGTCACACCCCATATCAACCACCCAGCCTTCAATCCTGGGTCAGATGGGGCTATGGGGTAGCCTAGTGGTTAAAGCGTGGTATGCTCATCACGCCAGAGGCCTGAGTTCGATTCCCCACATGGGTAGAATGTGTGAAGCCCATTTCTGGTGTCCCCTGCCGTGATGTTGCTGGAATATTGCTAAAAGCAACGTAAAACCAAACTCACTCACTCCTGGGGCAGATATTGCAGTATAGAGTTGCATCCCACTGGAATGCCAGAAACCTCTGATTCCAAGTTAGAATCTCGGTTAGCCCTGATTATATGTTTACACCTGGTTTCTCAGACCATACCCAGGGTTTTATACTAGTTGTAAATGTCTGAGAAACTATCACTTTGGGCTATCCACACCTAGTAGACATGCCATTATGGAACTGTACAGCTGACATTTTGATTTGTCTTTAAGCATGGTTCCATTCAGGCAACCGTCAGTGTGTACTGGAAGAAACTGGACCGTGTTTTACAATATGTCCGTCACGACGTAGACCCGGGTTCGAATCCCCACATGGGTACAATGTGTGAAGCTCATTTCTGGTGTCCCCCGCCGTGATATTGCTGGAATATTGCTAAAAGCGGCGTAAAACCAAACTCACTCACTCATTACAATATGCCACTGCTTCTATGAGACATAAGCAAAATTGCTCAATGTGGAATGGAGTCGTCCTAGGGTGCAAAATTCCACTCAGTTTCAGTTTTGTGTTGCGGAATATGATCTCATCCCCTGTTTGGGGTACCGGGCACATACCTGGGGTACATCTGTAGTACCCTTGCTGACAACATCACAACACTGACTGACTGACTGAGTTTGGTTTTATGCCGCTTTTAGCAATATTCCAGCAATATCACGGCGGGGGACACCAGAAATGGGCTTCACTCATTGTACCCATGTGGGGATTCGAACCCGGGTCTTCGGCGTGACGAGCCATCGCTTTAACCACTAGACTACCCCACCGCCCCCCTAACATCACAACAACCCATTAGGCCTTTTATGACCTTCCAGCTTTAAAAATTCATGCAAGTTCACCTACCCAGTCTACGTAAACTTAGGCTCAGTATTCTTCATTACACTGCTCATACTGAGTCTAAGAAACCCTAGTATAAGAATAGCGTCAGCTAATATTTTCAATTGACCAATCAGAACACAGCTTACCAAATCACGAAAGTTGATGTTTGCACATACATTTTGAACTTTTACCTGGAAAAAGTTTATACCCGAACAATTCCAAATGCTATTTCCGTATGATCGCTTCTGAGTGATGCACATGGAGCACACCTTAACAGTGAGTAAACAGTCGCTGCAAAATAGCGGTTTTGTCAATATTCAAGGTTGTCAGCTTGTGGAAATATAAGCTAATGGTAACCATGTCATCAAAAAGCCTAAGCGTATATACTGCAGGTCAAATATCTGTGTGGTATGTGGATTTTCGTTTGTTGAGAGATGAGTGTCAGTGACCGGGGAATTTTGTAAGTCCCGCCGAACCCTAAACAGTAATCGTTGTCTGATTGGTTAAATCGGCGTCTCGCATTTATTTGGACAGTCATAGGTCGCTCAAAGGTTAGCTGACACGACCTAGGGTTTGTTAGACTCAGTATAGCAGTTGACGAATAATACTGAGCCAAAATTTACTTAGACTGTCTACCCAAGACATGTAAAATTCTGTTGATGGTAGTCATTATTGACTTGTAACATTTGGGGGCTTTATGCCAGACCAAGTTCTCTCTAGAAAATCTTCATAAGAGAAATGTAAACACAGTAATGTATCTTCTTCAAGTAGGACTAGCTACAAACATGGTTTTCAATGGACCGATAGACTAGTCTTACAAAGAGCTAAACTTCTAAGAATGTCATATATTTTAATCTTTTGGACATTGTGCTGTATTTCTTCTCAGAAACCACAATAAATGATATTTTTTGTAAACTTTTAAGTGATGAAAATGTGAAATTTGGACATGGTCATTAAGAACTGATATTTTACAGAGTGCAGTGTTTCTGGCAAATTACACAAAATTGGGTCACACTGTACATACCATTAAACCTGTGAGGATCCGGGTTAGAAATGGTCTTCAGTCACCTATGCTTGTTGAAAGAGGCCACTAGCATGATTATATAGTCAGGCTCGATGACTTGGTTGACACATGTCATCGTATCCCAATTGTGTAGATTGATGATAATGCTGTTGATCACTGGATTGTTTCGAAAAGACTCGTATATTTACAGACCGCCTCCATATATCTGGAATATTTCTGTGCGGCATTAAACAACAAACCAACCAACATATGTATATTTAGATGATAAAATGTTTATCCTCTGTAAGTATACTTGAAAAAATATTATAAACACAATCAACTTTAGCTCTTTCATCCCATGGGCAGCATTTCGTCCATGTTGTTGTACTTACTTTGTAAGAAATTTTGAGATAATGATTTATTTCTTTTCTTTTCTGCTTTCAAGGAAACTGTAACTAAATCATCGTGAGTAGTGGGTATCAAATGGACCCACCAGGCAACAACTACCAGCAAAGCCATGGAGGCCAAATACAGCCAAACAGGACAGATTTGCCAATGCAGCAACAATGGAATTGCACAGCAGTAATGGAAGGCAATGGACAACAAGGAGCTGATAGAAGCCAAATGCATCACACCACACAACAGACCCTGCCTAACCCTCCAATGCCACAACCAGAGTATGGCTATCCTCACTACGGACATCAGCCATTGCCACTGTTATGTTACTGTAGCAATATACCACCACACTATCATTATTTTGATGGTAGTATGTATGTGCCAAATGCTTACATGCAACATACAGCATACAACCAACAGTCTACTCAACCACATTCTGTGACAAATGACACGAATTATGGGCAAGGGCAAGCTGGCTTACACTACCATACACCTCCAGTTCCAAACGCCATGGGTGCCTTTTCTGCAAGTCATTATGATGAGCACACTCAGCAGACTCGGTATCGTACTCAAAATGCAGCTGAGCAAGGTCAGGCTTATCGATATCAATCAGCACAAGCCCAGGGTGGTCGATCGCAAGATGTGGCAAACCAACCCCCTCAACACCCAGGGTATCACCCCAATACAGACCCAGAGACTTATTGTAACCGTCAACCTGCTGGTCATGCAAGATCAGGACACTTATCAGCAACTTCTCAAGGAGAGACTCCCCCAACAACACCAGGACTTCCTCAGATGCAGCAGTCCAATCCTGATCCACAGGTGGGCCTGAACCTACATTACTCTAACAGTGCAAGCCCAGCTGTTAGACAAAGAAGCAAGGATGACACTGACAGTACTCCTAGAGATAGTGTCAGTGATCTAACAGAAGGCCTTGAGAAGCTGAATGTTAATGATGATTTGAGAGATGGAGGGAATGTGACAACCGACAAACACAAACTCCCAATTGGAGGCACTGATTGTTGGAAAGACCCTCAACAGCTCGGCGATATTGAAGGTAAAATGCACATGGCACCAGAACAAATACATTTCCAGTCTCTTTCAAGGAACCTGCAGCCCCAATATTCATCCCAACTTGAATGTCGGGAATCAGGTATTAAAATAGAATTTTACATTTTGTCAGTATTTTTGTAATTTCCACAAAGTGCATTTGTAGCAAAATCTTGAAAGCCAATCAAGCTGTATATGTCTTTTAATGGTCAAGATTAAGGTAGTGGTTATACCTGTGGTTTTTAAAGCAAACGCTTCGCTGAAAATTGTGGTCACAGTCATACACCAGAATTGCATGTGTCTTTCTTGTAGAGGTAGCTAATGGCATGAGACTGTCTGCTTTGAGGTTGTTGCATTAGACATGTTTTCTGAAAAGGCAGATTGTGATTTTACGGGAAATGAAAGTATGTTTCTTATTAATGCATCTATTAACATGGGGTCTTCGTTTTTATAGCTGTTTTGCATGAGGCATGTTTTTTCTTTTGTACTTTAATAATGGTAAAATAAGTGTACGTATAAAGTTTTGGGGACTTAAAGTCTGTCATTCAGACCCTGAAACATATATCCAAGAAAGCCCATGCAAGTGTGGAATAAGTGGCAAGTCTAGATTTCCACAGTTATAAGATCTAAAATGAAGAAAGTCTCTGGGCTCCTTTTCACTATATTTTATGATTTATGAACTGTTCTTTTTCTGTAAGCGACCGGTATGTTCATTTTAGAGACTAGATGTTAATCTTGGGGACTTTCTGCTGTTTCTGTTTATTTTCCTTCACTGGAAATGACATCATTAAACTGTAATGGTTGTTTTACAGTAGCTTGGAGACTAAGGCCAACAGGGTTTTACCTTGACTTACAAAGGTGGGGATTTAGTGAACCCCCATCAACAAATTTTCCTGGACACAACTTAAACCTTAGATCTTATGTACTACATATGCTGCAAATGTTCATGCCATACTAGTCTTGTTGGCTTTGTAGAGACTGGGATGACCATCAAATGCAGGCAGTTATAATGTTCATTCAGGGATTTTCCTTCATCAATAATTTTTATGGGTCCTTGCTAGTTGGTTGGTTGTTGTTTATTGCCACACCCAGCAATATTCCAGCTACATGACAGCCTGCCTTGACCAGACAATCCAGTGATCAGCTTCATGAGCATCGATCTACACAATTGAGATAAGATGACAACCCAGTCAGTGAGCCTGACAACCAAGTCCCTTTAGTCGCCGCTTATGACAAGCATGGGTTGCTGAATATCAATTCTAACCCGGATCTTCACGGTTTCCTTGCTTGTTATATTGGGTTCCTGTAAAGTACTGAAATGGTGTTGAGTACTCTACAGTCAGATGACAGTGGTCATGACTGATGGGTGAAATAACACACATAGATAACTAGTGTTGGTGTGGTGTAGAAGACTATTGCTTAGTGTCTGATTATATATAATTTTGATGAAAACAAATATTTCCTTTTTAAATGAAAGGAACCCCAGCAAAATGGGAGATTCAGAGCCTGAAGATATCTAGAATTAAGGCTTTAGCACTTCAGAAATGGACAATAATGCGGTTCAGGTTCTCTCTCAGTGTTTTTTGTCTATCCAGACACTGTATTTTTTGGTTTCTGTATCCATTCTCTACATTGTGAATAGTAGGATGCACATTTGTTTGTCGCAGAAAACCCTTATCATTGTATCCTGTGATGTAGAATGTGTAACGTATTTTATATTTGGGATTACACTTTCTTAATAAAGTACAGATTCTAGTACTTTTGTTGGCTTGAGTCCCAAATCCCAAATATAACACGTTACATTTGACCACTTTCTATATGCCATTGTGTATTCATAGATCTAGAATGTGATGTCATTTTTGGTGATTTACACCCAGGTGAGCTACAGGGAAAGAAGATTCTGTGTTGATATTGTCTAGAAAAGGTAATACAATTGCACTTCAAGAAGCTTAATCATGTCAAAGCTTGTATGTTTTTTGCTTGTCAGTGTTTGTAGAATGTTCAACTGTAATAAGTTGTTAATTGATAATTTTTAAACGTTACTTAATTGTCAAAATAATGATGTCACATGCACATGTTTGCTGATCTCTCATTTTAGGAGCAGGAACCAGGCCTGTTGCCATGGAGTATTATTCTGATAGATTCCTGCTATCTGGACTCAAAACCAATGTCTTGGAAGAGACTTTAATGCACTATGCTGAAGTCACTAGTGAATGTGATGTCAAAAGTGTTGAGTATACACGTGACGAAACACGAGCAGTCGTAACTGTTGATCAACATCCAGGTAATAAAAAGTTTGTGTGTTTTATTAAGTCCTTCAAGTACCCTACCTCTATTAGATCATTTTCAATATTCCTGTAATTTGACTTACATCTCACTGATTAAATCCTTTAGATTTTCAGCAGACATCTTCTTTACTGTCAGCTATTTCAATGTTATGAGGCGAAGCATACGTTGGGGCAACAGCCTTTGGACACAATGGAAAAACCTCTATTTTTTCTTGTGAATGCAATCTGTGACACCTGAATAAATTCAGTTTATACAATGTTTTCAATTGACATTAGTGCCAAAACATTCTTTGGTTTTCTGTTAAGCAGATGTATATATTTATGTTGAACTTTTTAAACATTTTTGTTTGTCACCACCGGCCTGTCTTTGGTGGGGTAATGCCATGACACTTGGTGACGTTATCAATGTATCCTACGTCAAGTAGTTATCTACATTATTTAAACTAATCATCCTTTGTCATTGTGTGTGCTGCCTGACATTCAACCTGCATTGACAGTGTCTGCGAAGAATTTCAGAAGATCAAGGAAATTAAATTGTAGCCTTCCAGCACTAAATGCTGTCATGCTGAAGACTGGGTTTGATTCCCCACATGGGTACAGTGTGTAAAGCCCATTTTTGGTGTCCCCCGCCATGATATTTGCTGGAATAGTGCTAAAAGAGGCATAAAACCATATTCACTCACTCACTCTAGCACTAAATATAAAAAGGCATGGTGGCACACAGTGACTGGGTTATTAACAAGGAAGGATATGGTGGTGTCTCATGGAGCAGGGATAAATTGGCTAGCAGCCCAGAGCTTCCACTTCAACTCTCCTATCTACATTTATTTGATTAAAGACATCATGTCTTCAGTGATGAAATCCATGCAATACTCAGTTACTAGTTTTAGCTTTGATTATCCATTACGACGATGATTGATTGCTGATCGGATTCAATTCAATTGATATATTGCAATACCAGGCCATATACTGGATGCTTGACATACCCATCTGTGGTATATCTCACCTGCACTCGGATCATAATCAACTTTCGGACTATGAAATACACAATGCTATTTTAGAAAGTTGTCAAATGTAACATATGTTATATTTGGGATTACACTTTCTCAGTAAAGTACAGATTCTAGTACTTTTTGGGTTGAGTCCCATCAGGGATTCGAACCCACACCCTCAGAGTCAGGCACCTAATCGATAGCAAACAAAGTCAGACACCTAGACCGCTCAGCCACCATGGCTTCCACAAAAATGGAAGTCGGACAACTGGTAGTCTAGACTTCGGACTTTGTGGCTGAGCGGTCTAGGCGTCTGACTTTGTGTGCTGGCGATTAGGTGCCGGACTCTGAGGGTGTGGGTTCGAATCCCGGATGGGACTCAACCCAAAAAGTACTAGAATCTGTACTTACTGAAAAAGTGTAATCCCAAATGTAACATATGTAACTTTCAGACTGACATCCCAAATACGTGAGCAACTCAAAGTTCATCTGTGAAGAAAGTGCACAAGCCCACATGATCACCAACCACTGCTTACCTCATAGCAGGATGATTTCTTCTGCGAAACTGCAGCCACTTGCAGCTATTGTTACATGCAAAGTGAGCACTGACATCAGTCAGGATTCACCTTTCCACCACACATGACACACAGTCAAGGGGACTGAGACCGCCTCCATGGTGTAGTGGTTAGAAATGTCCGCCTGCAGAGCGGAAGGTTGCGGTTCTATCCCCAACCGCGTCATACCAAAAGACGTTAAAATATGGTACTTCTCAGTCCCTGTCTGGCGTTCAGCATTAATGGGTACAACAAGGACTGGTCGGCTCGGAGTCAGTATAATGTGTCCATAGGCGGATCCTGAAGTTTATTAAATGACCATTGAAACTCGGGTGAAAATGAAGTGTGCACCCTCCCTTTTCTCAATAGTGTGCACCCCCCTTTCTCAAAAAGCTGTATCCGCCCCTGGTGTCTGAGTGGGGTATTCATGTTTCACTGCGGCATGGTATCTCAGTGGGCTAGCACTAATAAACCAGCTTCAGTCTGGGCTAGTACAAGCAGCCGCACATACACATACACACTCATGCACGTCGTCTTATGAGCGAAATATTCTCAAGCACAACGTTAAACCCACCTCACCTCATGGGGACTGCTACTGACTGTCAGAAAAAATCCTGCTATGCTTGACTATCATTCACACATGGGTTAACTTCAGTAACAATACAAGCAGGGATGCGGAATCAAGGGAAAGTGGATAGGAATATGTTATTCATGCTGGTTTATTCCAATCAGACACGATTTCTGGAGCTTATATACACAAGGAACTTAATTAGGCAAACCCTGTATTTTTGCAATGAGAGGTTTTCAACACACACATAAAACTTCTCATGGTGACCGAAAAAATGATTGGAATCCGTGTTGATTTTATGATGATAATTGCTCATTTTTTTATAGAAAACACTGATTTTCATTCAAAACCATGTCTGTACAAGTATTGCCTTGGAATATTTAATGTTGAATTTATTGGTAAATGGGAACATTCTAAATGTCATTGATTCAAGGTCAATCAATACCGAGTGTAACCTCCATGTGACTGTATGACACTCTCCTCCTTATACCCCCTGTCAGCCTCTTTATCCTCTGAAGGGGCAGTCTACACCATCCCTCGTGTAAAGCAGCTTCCAATTGGGCCAGGTTCTGTACAGGAGGATCCATTTGTTGCACACGACGACTAATCATGTCCCTGATATGCTTCAAAGGGTTAAGAATGGTGCTCATTCAACCGTGAGATATGTCATGTGGTGCTTACTAAGTTCTTTGTGTAAAGATGAAATCTACCATCTCATCCGAAGTCTTCAACCACCATCATGATATGGCTGAAATATTGCCGATGTGACGTTAAATAATAACTCACTCACTCACTCTTCAACCACCAGTTGCACTAGAGTTGTCACAACAAGACCCAATATATTTTAGACATCTCGTCAGCAGCACCTACTTTAAATATTTTACTTCTGTTTTCCTTTGCAAACAAGGTCATCTGTATGCTAATGACCATGTTCTTTGCACCTAATAGATAACATGTTCTGATGCTGTCAAAACTTATATTGCACAAAATTCTCCATTTGCTCCAATCCCATCAATCAACGGTGATCTAATCGCCTCTTGACCAAGATGAGCGTTTGGACATGCAACAGCGGAATATAACTTCTTGGTCCAACTGCTACCAGCTGTAGGGTTTCTTGTTCTTCCAACCAGTTTTGCCTCAACGGTACATTATACACTGGAACCTAGTTCCAGTAATGTCCACTGTCTTGTCATTTGTTGATGTCATGTCTTGGGATTCTGACATTACTTCAAACTCTTACATGCAGAGGTCGACATCACCTCGTCCAGCTTCAAACTTAGTTGAATGAGGAATCTAATGATCCCATGATGTTGGTACCTTAGTACGACCTTCACCCACTTGATTGAACTTGATTTTGATGCCTTGGTACAACCTCCACCCACTTGGTTGGTCAGGTTTTACATGTGGATGGGTTGTTTCAGTCTCATGATGGCATTTCCCAGACATTTCCTCCAACAAGCCTCTATCTCCACATGGACAGTGCGACAGTATGGGGAATATGGACAGTTCACCTTACAACTGATTGGCATTACTGACAGTGAAGAGGATGCCTGTTGAAAATCTATTTATTTAGTGTGATTATAAACAAGTTACTGGAATATTTGCTTTGAAGTGATAGAGGTGGTATTCTTATAGTTACATAGGATCATAACTATTGCTTGGTTTCCGTAAAAAGTAGGTTCATTTACACATTAACTTTAATTCAGTGTTGTTATATAGATCTTGACATAAAAGTAGGTATCATCTTTTGATGCTACAGTACATGTATATGTACTTTAGCATATACCTGTTTTCAAATTATATTGTTATATTTTGTTCATATGATAAAAAGTTTGATTTTTTGTAAAATAAATATTTTTATGAAACATTAAAACAACAATCCCATAAACTACAAGACCTTGAACGCTGTACCTCTTTCTGTGTGAAGATGCAAGGCATCAGAAAAGGCTGTTGTAGGCATGGGTGATTTTGCAAAGACAAAGTTTTTCCTTTTTTCTTAAGGCCAGACCAATTTTATTTCTTGTTTTACGGATTTTTGTCTTCAGAAAACCTAAAGGTGTAAGGTAAAAACATAACAAATAAAAATCACTAGTCAAATTAATTTTCCTTTTAATTTTGGCAATTTATGAAGTTTATACGGGGCAAAAAACAATCAAAAAAAGAATTTTTTTTGTAAGTTTACATTTTTGGCCAATAAAAATATGAGGATTTTATTGTTTGAGTGGGGAAAATTAATTATTATTTTTTCTTAATCTTGAAAAAATATGACCGGCTGATCTAAAAAACAAGAAATAAAATTGGTCTGGCCTAAACATCTCGACCAAAATTTGACAATGTTTGTCTCCCTATTGTGATTTAAATCAGTATGGACTGAAACCTACACATACACATGTTGATGAGCTACAGTGATGTAGAACTATATTTATAGATTGGGATTCACTGGAGAAGAAGGTGAAAAAAAGAAAACTGGAGAATGAAAGAGTGGAAATACATAAAATTGCTCTTACACAAAGTATTTGTGTACATGGAAACTTCAACAGGAACCAAGAAGACATATTTATTAATTATTTTGAGAACATGAAGAGCGGAAACAAGGGATGGAAAGTGACCAAAGCTGAAATCATGCAGGATCTTGTGGTTGTGACATTTGAGTGCCCAGAAGGTAGGCAAAGTTGTGTTCCTTGTAACTGAGCAACATTATTTTACAAGCATGTACGTCATACTGATTTTATATGAAATCAATGAATTCAGTTAATTTATTAATACTTTCATGAGTTGTCGCACATGAGTTTAATAATTTGTTTACTATGCATTATTTCATATTTCTTGTGGACCCCATCTAGAAAAATGCACTGATCTGAAATGCCATCCCAGAAGAACCGAGTTGTCAAATGAAGGGTCCATTTTTGTGGAAGCTGCAGTGGTTGGGTGGGCTACACAGCTGGCGATAAGGTGCCTGATTCTGAGGGTGTGGGTTCGAAATCCCGGATGGGACTCAAACCAACGAAATTACTAGAATCTGTACGCTATTGGGAAAGTGTAATCCCAAATTTAGCATGTGTTAGAACTGACTTACACAAACAATAGCGACCTGTTGGTAATGATGATATGTTCAATGTGAATGTTTTTGCTTGTTGTAACGCCATCAGCAATATTCCTGGAGTCCGAGTGTAGTCTGAAAACAATTGAATATAGAACAGTTCTTGAATAGTTGTCACTTCTAACAAGACAGACAGACTCAGACTCAGACATTGGACTGCCTTCTGAGTAGCTGACCTGCTCCTTGTAAAGACATGCCATGGTAGATAATAAACAAGCAGCAGAACATATTACAGCAACTGCAATGTTTATATTCAACTGTAACCTGTACTACGATCAGATACTTTTAAACTGTCATTAAACAGAAACTGATAACCAGGTGATAAATAACTCGGAACGAAAGCGGTGGTGATTTTCATAAACCGTTTTGTCATACAATAAATCTACTCTGAATATGAAATGCAGCAATATTTATAGTGCTTTAATTTTCAAGGCAGCTGCTTTGGACACTGATCAGTTAAATGTAACTATAGATGGTTGTTGCAAGTCCAAATTAAGTGTGCTGTTATATGTCACTAGCCTAATGACCTGTACAACCCTTCTCACCCCTGTCCAATTACTGGTGCTTGAGAGTAACGAGGACACTCATATAGATTCATTCAGGTAAATACATGCCATATGAGTACAGTAAGTATGTTGATCTGAAAACCGGAATTTTTTCTGTTCTCAGCTGTGGATGCTGTCCTTTCTCAGCCAACACACCATTTCTCAGGAAATACATGGAAAGTAGACATTTTCTACCCTGACATTGGATGTGTCCAAGAAAGATCCAAGATGGCAAATACAGAATGGATTTCAGATATGATATTAGGTGAAGTAAGATTGATGAAAGTAACTGGATTCCTCGACTCTTTGAAGACTAACCTCTGTCACCTTGTAGAGGCGTCAGTGGAGGGAGACACCAAAGTGAAATTGAAGGGGACAGATACAGATGTTGACACAGCAAAAGAGGATGTAAGTCAGTTCCGAGAGCAGATAAAGAGGATGCAAATTAGTTGTTCCGTTGCAAAGAGAAAATACCTTGAGAGTGAGTCTGGCAGGAGGTACATGGAAAAGGAACTCATTCTGAAGGGTATTAAAAGTGCCTGGAGTCCTGACACAAACACAATTGAAATCTTTGCATCATCTGATAGGGATTTGCAAAAGACAGAGTTGTGGATCAGGAAACATATAAAAGAACAGCAATTCAATGTTCCACAGATGACTGCTCTTGAGTTTGATAAAAAGATCAAATCTTTGCAACAAGACTTGGAGGATGAGTACCCACCTGGATCATACAAGTTTGACGTCTGTCAGAACACCAGATGTATGGATGTAGTGGCACAGCATGAGTTCTCATATTATTTGTTTCAGGCAGTTGCACATTGCTTCCCTAAACCAGTTCCAGATGAACATACACAGATAACATTTCCAAAGTGTCAGTTCCGATTCATACAGAAACACATGCAGGACAAGGTACAGCAGATGAAGTCTGAATACAGGGTCCAGTTGGAATTCAAAGAAGAAGAATGTCAGCTTGAGATCAAGGGTGAAGGGGAAATGGTTAAAAAATCAAAGGCTCTTTTGTCTGAAAGTGGTTTAAGAAATGAAATTCTTGCACTTGGATCAGCAGAATCAGAAGACCTTCTTCAATCAGGTCATCTTCAGTGTTTGGAAGCTTATGTTGAAAGAACAGAAAGGTGCACCATCTCGCACGAGGTAACAGGTGATATTCACAGCAAGGATATGCATGCTGCCATGGAAGCATCTGGTGCAACAGGAGGTTACAGAGAAACAGGAGACAGAGAGGATTATGGGAACCACACAGATCAAAGGCATGCACGTGATCAAGAACCTCCAAGTTCAAATTCCAGGTTCTATGTTCCAAGCCCTGATATGCAAGACAACACCGGTGCAAGTGGAGATGGTTGGAAGGATGTCCAGAAGAAAAGTAAAAGGGCTAACCGCAGTGAGTATGTTTAGCCATTAATGTCCTGACCTTTCTCATACACTAGTGTTGTTTGCAGTATCTTTGGGGTACTGAAATCTAAACAATGTTTGTCTCAGGGCAACATAAATAGTGTTATTACTCGGCCGTGGAAGATGCTGCAGTGTAATATTTTTACTAGTTACTATTGTAATACCGCTAGACATATGACGTCATAATGGTTTACAGTTATGATGTCATAATGCTTATACCTCAGTCATAATGGTATTAGACCTTGCTTTACTAGCGGAAACTGAGAGTCATCACACTGTAGGCAGTTTCTATTAATTTATGTTGGAGAGTAATAAACAGAATGCTAAATTTACTACCATGGTATTACACAGAAGGTTGTTTTGTATCCTCTGTGTAGTTAATGGTAGTGGTCAATCAGCAAAATACCCATTTTCTAGAGCATAAATAAGAAACAACAATAACTGTTCCTTTGATGAAATTATATTGTGTCAACAATTTGACATGTTAGCATATTTTTTTTAAAATTTCAGTAAAAGACACAATATTAAGAAAGTGAAAAAAATGGTAGTTACTGTTTGAAATGATATGCAGATGATCAGGAGGACTGCTTTGATGACAAACTGAATTGGTCCAAAATATGCCATGGGTGGTTGGGTAGCCTCGTGGTTAAAGTGTTCGCTTGTCACACCACAGACCCGGATTCGATTCCCAACATGGGTATAGTCTGGCAGAAAATTTTCACTTGTCACTTTAGTTAAAAACTACAAGTACAATCGTTTTCTAATTTGGCATGATGCATTATAATTGTTCTACCATAGTGAATTTTGAATTTCATGAATTATGATTTAATAATAAAAAAGTTGTGTATATAAGCTGTCATTATGTCAAGACACAATAACATCTAACTGTCAAGGCTGTTAGGCAACTAATCGGAACAGCCACCTGGCCATGCAAATGTGCATGGTGCCACTATCAGTGAAGGACAAAAGGGGCCATCTCAAAATCAGATACGTCACATTATCAAATGATCCTTTGCCAATTAACATGAAGCAAAAATGAATACAAGGTAGTATCAGTGATCATAACTTGTTTGAGTGGCATTTTTAGAAGTTGACACGTGCAATATGGAACACGTTTTTATGGATAACAACTTCTTTATTTCGTGAGTGCTACATTTCGCTACAGATTCTTGTACCGTTGTCAAGCAAGAGTCTTGCTTGACAACGGTACAAGAATCTGTATCGAAACGTCGCACTCACGAAATAAAGAAGTTGTTATCCATAAAAACGTGTTCCATATCAGTGATCATGTTGATTTTTTTTAGATGCCACTAATCAGAACTGATAAGTAATGGTCATTTGCTTGAAAAGCATAGCAACTGGCAAGGAAGGCAAAATTTATGTGTTGGATTTATAATGCATTGTTATACACAAAAAAGCTTGCAGATGTTGATTGTTGTCAAGGTATGAATAACATATCATCTTCTACATCAGACTGGTCAGAATCTGATTCATCCCCAAGATGTATAACGATTGCTGGGATGGTCTCTTCTTTAATACCGCGTCTTCTTCCCAATACTCATTTTCAAGTTTTAGAACATGTTCGACGCAGGCTGCCCACCGATTAATATCAGTCTCCTGTATTGCTGTGTCAACAGTTTTCTCCACATCGGATAACTTGAATGTTGTGTTGTAGCATGAAACCTTTCCCTTGATATCCCCCATATCAATTCGATATTATTCAAATTGCAATGATATAGAGGCAGTCGAACCTCGTATCCAGCAGCCTATAGCTATTGTTGATTGCATGTGTTGTAAGACAAGTTCATATGAAGCAGGTTTTGTAGCTTCTTCTGGTATTGGAATTTTGTTCCTATCAAGCCTATCAACTTTTCAGTAATTGGATGTAATCGGAATCACGGCAACTATGATATGGAGCATTATCCATAACAGACAACAACTTCTCTGGAAGGGCTGTGATCAGTTATTCTTCCACATACTGCTTAAAGACATCACCATTATATCTCGGTGTGATAATATCTACCATGAGTAGATTTTAATTTGAAGACTAATTCACAACCAGGTAGAACCCTTTGTGTATCTTTTTTTGTAAATTGCACAAAATGCATTTGCAAATTTAACATATTTAAAGAATGATTATTAAGTTAGGAACATAAATTTCCTGGAGTCTTTAAGATAAATTCCATCATGACTTGGAACGAGCTTGTAGTGCTCATGAAATGTAACAGACAAAACCAACCATGGGAAAAATATTGTTCATGCAAACAAGTGTTTCAGAATTGTTCGTGTTCGATTATGAGAAAACATGATCAACTGCTTGGTCGTTTAGTCATTGCGACCAATCTTCGATTATTTCAATTAATTGGACCACCACTATTGTGTCCCTCATGAGCCTTCGATCAAAAGTGTCAAATTTTACTTTCTGACCAACTTTTGAGACAGGCCCTGTCATGCATGTGGAAGATCAAGGATAATCCCACTCAGCATGCCCTTTGAGAGATCCAAGGCATGTTGGGTCCATTTGAAAAACTTTTCAAGAGCTACAAATGGACGACCCCTTTCACTTTACCATTTGAAATATTATCAATCTTTCATATCACATGTTTTGCGTCAGCAGACAAATAGAAAGCGGACATTGTTTTTTACACGTGTATGTGCACTTCGTGTATTGCATGTGCTTGTCGTCACATGACATGACCTTCCATGCATGTGTGAGGTCGTGACATGTGATATGCACATTTGCATGGCCAGGCAGCTGTTCCAATTAGCCGCCTAACGCCAATGACGGTTAACTTGTTATTGTGTCTTGACATAATGATAGCTTATATAGACGACTTTGTTATTATTAATTCATAATTCATGAAATTTAAAATTCACAATGGTAAAACAAAAATAATGCATTATGCCAAATTAGAAAACGATTGAACTTGTATAGTTTTTGAGTAAAATGACCAGACAGAAAACAGAAAAGTTTTCTGCCAGACTTTACAATATGTGAAGCCCATTTCTAGTGTCCCCCGATGTGATATTGCTGGAATATTGTTATAGCAGAGTAAAACCTCACTCACTCACTCACTCACCAAGACATGCTGAAGCAAGTCAATGCTCACTCACTCTGTGGTCATTTGTGTTTAATGTGATGTGTAGCCTGCTAGCAATGAACATTGGACAATCAACTATACTTGTGGCTCACATTCATTTCAATCTCAATCTTTTGATGGGATTTGGGTCGAGATTTGTTTAGGTAAACAGTTTGTTGCAAAATATACCTCAATTGAATAATCTGTTGGCTGTGGTGAAGGAATATTTTGTTGTTATTTTTGTGCAAAATGTGCAGAATTCAAATATTGTGTGTAAATTGTGATAATGCAAAGATTTTTTCATGGTGCTCGGTAAATATATGTAGTTGTTTTAAATTGTATAGTTTGTGTTAAAAAAAAGTGATTTTCAAAAACCAACCCTCCTCCTCCCCCTATTAGTCAAATTAGTCTTTTCTCATGATCTTGTTTGACCTGTGAAGATCCAGGTTAGAATTGGTCTTCAGTAACCCGTGCTTGTCGTAAGAGGCGTCTAACGGGATCGGGTGGTCAAGCTCGCTGACTTGGTTGACTCATGTCATCGAATCCCAATTGTGTAGTACGAGGCTTGTGCTGTTGATCACTGGATTGTCTGGTCCAGACTCAATTATTTACATACCGCCACCATGTAGCTGGAATATTGGTGAGTTAAACAACAATCACTCATTCATGATCTTGTTTACACCTGCATCTATGCCTAGAACTATGCATCCAGGTGGCTGTGGTTGAAAACACAAATGTTCCAGAAGTCCTCAGATTAGAATGAACATTGTGTGACAAATCTTTTGTTGATTGTGTTTTACAGAATTTGTGACAGGTTCAAGAATACATATCATCCTTAGGAAAGGAGAGCTAGCTAAAGAAAAGGTAACTCTGTCAAAGAAATAACTAGTTATCTCTCAATAGATTCATGATTTGCTGGCTGTAACGGGTGCTGAGGGATTGATCATATGTAATTACGTGGGTTGCTTGAAATACGGGGTTCGGTGGGGGTGTTCGTGAGAGAGAAGGGGTAATGATAGGAATGATACAGTTGTTTTTTTCTCTCAAAATTTTATAATTTTATATTTGAACACTGTGAAAGGACTGATCAGTTATTACAAACAAGGAAATTAAACAATGTTACCTGCCTGTAATTGTTAAGTTAGCAAGTGCGGGACAAAATATATAAAATAAAATAGGATGGAAGGGGATCAGCAATATCAGATCAGTCATATTATGTATCTCTTGTCAATGCAATTTGTTTTTGTGTTCTTGATTTTGTTTCAATGCAGATCTATATAATGATATTAAACTAGATTATGTATAGTGGAATTTATTTCTTAATTTTACATTTAAGGTAGATTCTTTTTAGAACCATACATATTATACACTAGTGCCTACCATATGTAATAGTTGAGAACATTAGGGTGAGGTACTGAATCTTGTCACAGCATATATGAGTCTTCTATTCATAGCTATGGGTTTATGAAAACAGCCATATTGTTTATAGGTAATGGATCTCTTGACCCATAAGTATTGTCATCTATCTGAATCACAAAAGTAACACATATTGATAAAAGTTTTCAGGAATGGGGATATAATATGACTGAAGTACACTCATTCTCACTTTTTTTCCAGGTTGAGGTAATTGTCAACACTGTAGGAAAAGATATGGCGTGGAAGTCTGGAGCTTTATCAAAATCCATTGTTGAAGCTGGAGGAAAGACATTGCAGGAAGAATGTGAACACATCAAGTATTTAAAAGAGGGAAACTACACTGTGACGGGTGGTGGTAAACTGTCATGTAGATATGTTTTCCACTGCTGTCTGCTTCCTGCCTATCACGTGACTGCTGGACAGGTGACTCATTTTGTGTATTTTTAGATCAGATTGGTCAAGGTTATAATTTGCTGCTGTATCCACATTAAACTTTATTCGGGTGGCGGGGTAACCAGGTGGCTGAAGCATTTGCTCATCACGCCGAAGACCCAGGTTTGATTCCCTGCCATGATATTGCTGGAATATTGCTAACAGCAGCATAAAGCCATACTCACTCACTATGAAACGTTCTTCAAATATTATATCATAGCCATTATTTCTTTATGATGACTGTCCTCATGCTATAAACTCTTTAAGTTTTTCGAGAGATGCATATCTGCATATTCCCATCCAAGCTGATATCAGTTTCTGGAGGTTTGTAGTCAATAGCAAGAAGTATGAGTTCCTGTTTCCTTTATTTGGAATCTCCAGAGCACCTTATCTCGTCGCAAGGATTATCACTGCTTTTACTAATCTATGTCTTGTAAGACTCCACAGTTACATGGATGATTTTACCATTAAGATTAGGGTTAGAAATAAAAAAAAGAGAGAGAAAAAACGTTACATTTAAAGCTTGGAAACAGAATGAAAAGACTGACACTTTCAATAGTCCCACAGATGGAAATGCTGATTGTTCCAATTCAACACATGGGGTTAAAATTGAAATTCAGTAACCATGCTTGTTGTGGTGGTCAAGCTCGCCGACTTGCTTGACACATGTCATCATATCCCAGTTGCGTAGATCAATGCTAATGGTGTTGATCACTGGATTGTCTGGTCCTGACTTGAATGTGTACAGGTTGCCATTATAAAGCTGGAATAGTGCTGTGTGTGGCGGGAATATGCCTAGCCATGATCACCACCAAAACTCCTCTTTTCAGATATATTTTAACCTGTAAAAACAAAGGCACCTAATAGTGAGGTGTTTAATCTCAGATCATTTTCAGAATTGAAGTAATAAATAACTTTTAGAGATACGTATAGCATGTATATGTTTGAACCATTCTTTTGGTTTCACTTTCAGAAACTTGAAGATCTTATTCATATGATGTTGAAGTATGCAGACGCCTTGAAAGTCAAATCAGTGTCATTCCCAGCTCTTGGAACAGGAGGACTTGGCTACCAGCCTGCTGTTGTTGCCAATGCAATGTACAAAACTGTTGAGGAATATAGAAAAGCTCATTCAAGCTCAAGTATACAAGAAGTCAGATTTGTCATATTCCCATCCAATCTGGATGTGTTTAAGGTGCGTATTTTTCTGACCAGTGAAGGTCCGGGTTAAAATGAACCTTCAGCAACCCATGCTTGTTCTAAGAGGCGAATAACGGGATCAGGTAGTCCGGCTCGCTGACTTGGTTGGTACATGTCATCGTATCCCAATTGTGTATGTAGCAACTTTCAGTTCGCACTTCACTTGACGTCACACTGACCGACTCCGTGAATGTTCTTGCAATAGCTGCATAAACAACGCAATCTTGAATGTCTTGTTTTCTGTTTACTGATCCATTCCCATTGTTACACTTCTTCGCACGCATAATAAGACAATAACTCATAGGTGTGGACCGTCAAAACAGTCAATTATTCCCTTGGATACAAATCTGACAGGCATCGCACCCGTCCATCTTTTCTCTAGAGCACACATCATCACCTCCTGTTCAAGGAAAGCAACTCCACCCTGCTACCAACGCTAGCCGCTAAATAAAATTGCAATTTCGCTGGCTACTGTTACAGTGCAGATCAATGCTCATACTGTTGATCCCAGGATTGTCTATGGTTGGAATATTGCTGAGTGTGGCGTAAAACTGAACTCACTCACTCACATATTTTTCTGTTGTTTCATGTTCAGTGACGTTAAATGATGTTGATGATTGTTTGTGTCATTGGCTAAATTTTAATTTGCCGGAATAACATGATGGGCATTTGTGCTTTTATGCATCTTTATCCTATGTGATACTGCTACAACCAATCTTTCTTGCATGCATGTTTTCATCTTGCGTTGTGAAACAATTACCAATAAAAGGATAATTGACAGAATACAGCTGTTGGACTGGACTGAGGTTAACTTGATATGTGTCATGTGGTGGGCGAGCTGGCTAAAGCACCAGGCTAGTGATCCACCGTGCTTGAGGTGCCCACCTGTGACCGGGTGTAAAACCCTTGGAGTCAACTTTGTGTGCAGACTCTTTCAGTGTTGTCACAACCCCTAGTGTACAGTACACGAATCCGTTGGTATATGACCAGATGGTGGCAACATGAATACGTGCAAACACCTAAAGTACTGCCGGAAATGCTAGAAAAATGCTTTTTAGCCTTAATATCTTCATAAATGTGATAAATGTACTATGTTGTCAATATATCAACTCGCCTATTGTCTACCTAATTTTTATTTCAATCGATTAAACATTCACATGCATTTAAAGGGCAGTTTACAGGAGAGAATTTGATACCAAAACAGCAACTTCAGATTTTTTCAGAGTTCAACAACAGAAATCTGAAATAGTCTTTACATTTATGCTAATAATACAGGTGGTGTAAAAATATGAATTAACGTTTATCCTAAACAAATAAATGTTGAATGTTTGTGTTACTTTACTAAAGTATCGTTTTCTTTATTGAAGAAATATTAATATAAATGTTAAGTCTTGATAAATAAGTTTCCCGTCATGCATGCACATCTTTATCACAGCGTCCACTATGGCCAACGATTTGCAGTCGATTGTTGCAAAGGTTTATAGTTTTCTGCTTAAAAGACAGAGGTAAACCTTTCATTAGTTTAGAAAGGGTTTATTACAGAACTCGTCGAGCTGTTGGCATGTCTTACCAACAAGTTTACAATATTGTAAACAAATCAGACAAGACAGGGACCGTCTCAAATGCAAAACCGGACGTAAAACCATCCTTGACAACTTTGACAAGGGAGTGCTTAGACGGGCGGTCTACAAACTTTATGAGAAGAAAAAATATATATATTCTAAAGAAGCTACACCAGTGACTTCCGTTAAATCTTTGGCCAATGTTCACAACTAGATTAAACTGACCGAATTACATCCATATTTTTTCAATGAAATATACTGTTGACATGCAAAACATTTATTAAAACGTTGCACATTTCTACAATCAATCGATAAGATAACACAAGTTATAGGATTCTTTCCAATGTACAGTAATTCGTATGTTTATTTCAAAACAAACACACATACAAAAATGATCCCTTACATAACCGATACGTATACTATAAGTACACATATTCAACATTTTGCAGAAAACATCTATTGAGATGACCCCTCGCCCCGAACGTGTGCTCAGGTGTCAATTTCACCTGTCGATACCGTGCATGCTGATGACGTAACACAGGCAGTTAATGTTTGTTTCAAATAACGTCCAACTACCCCTAATTTTTCTAAGTTTTTGGTATTTTCATCAGTAAAAAACACATTTTAGAGCATGTCTCAAAATTTATTCCCTCGGTCTACATTAGGTAGATGTTTCTTGAAGTGATATTTGTTATTTAAGTAACTGTAATACCTCTGAATTTTAAATATAAGTCAAAAAACATTTTTCTAGCATTTCCGACAGTACTATAGTCTCGGGTACAGCAACATGCAGTAAACTTGGACAAAGTACTGTGGCTATGTGTCCCAGTCCACCCAGCTGTGAATGGGTACCTCGTAAGAATGGGAAAGCTGCAATAACTTATTCTAGAGTTAAATATTCTAAGTACAAACTGTAGGTTTGAAATACAGACTATAATTGTTCATATAGCCTCAACTAATTAAATTACATAAATGATTGTAAAAAGTTTTGTTGTTTTTAAACATCGATATGTGAAGAAGATGGAACTCTTGTAGTAGTTATATTACATATAATTACGTATAAAAGTCTTAATTCAAATCGCATAGATTATCCTGTTCACCCATAGAAGTTTCACTTCTTGTATGAGCACTGAACTGGCAACATGCGACTTGATATCTCTGCAGAACAATTAATTTCAAATTTATGCCAGTATTTCATACTGGAGAAACCTCTCATCAGCTATGACAGGGTTTACTATCGAATGTGTAAAGCCCTTAATTTGACATATAGTCCGGTTTACAAAGTTGTAAACAAATCAGTTACCTCAGGGGTCGTGTCAGAATCAAACCAGGTAGGAAACACAAACTGGATAGCTTTGATAAGGGTGTCATACGCCGTGCAGTTTATAAACTGTATGGGCGCAAAATCCCACCGACGTGTGCTAAAATACAAGATGAGATCAAAGATACAATAAAAGTCTCGAAAACAACACTTATTGTAGCTGTGGTAGAAATGGGGTTCAGGTACACCAAAAGGGGAGATGACAGAGCTGTGTTTAGAGAAAAGTACTCAATCCTGTCCAACAACAGCCCCTGTCCATCTCAAGAACTATGGTCACAGATCATTCAGCTATGCTGCTCCTTCACAGTGGAACAGTCTTCCCATAACCATCAAAACAGCAACCTCCCTTGACTCATTCAAATCTTCATTGAAGACCCATCTATTCAGGAAATATTACGAGTGACCTGTACAATTGCTGCAGTTTTTAGCTGTACACATGGGGCGCCATGAGCATACTCTAGTGTGTGGATATGGCACCATACAAATGGACATCATTATCATTAATTGTCATGTATAGACTCAATTATTTACAGTCCGCCACCATAAGTGGAATATTGCTGAGTGTAGCGTTAAACAACCAACCAACCAAATCATGCCCAGTGTCCTTATGTTGGGCCAGTTCTGACACAGGTTATCCATAATGAACGTCTACCCTAGAAACTATTGCATCTGTGCTGGAACCAGAGACATTGGAAGAGGGCGGTATTCAGCAATGAATGTAGAGTGTGAACATGATGTAGCGATGAACTTAGACTAAGGCTTAGTCTGAATATATATAATTTTGATAGTAACAAACAAGCCCATTTATATTGAAAAGGAGCCCTAGGGAGACCAGAGATTCAGAGCCTGAGGAAATCTAGACTTGCTTTATTTAGGGCTTTAGCACTGCAGAGAGGGCTTGGCAGTAGGGAAATTAATGTGGTTCAGGGACTGTGAGACAGACTACGATGAACTGCATGAAGTATTTTAATACATGTTTGTGAATCCTGAATTAGCTGAAAGGATGTGATGTACATGTCATTTTTTTCAGCACAGAATACTTGGAACTGTTTTCCCCCTAAATGCTGAATCCCCTAGGAGGGGGTGTACACTGTACTCAAGGAAATATTTTTTTAATATGTTTACTGCTGGAATTAACTCTCATGTCAAATAACATTTTGTTTGATTACAGGTATTTGAGGATGTTGACAAGCAAATCAAGTCATCAAATGCGGCACAACCTGGTATGGATTATGGATAATTTCTTGTTTCTTGGAGGGAAGATAACTTGTTTGGGTCTGAAGTCTGCCTGTAAATTCTTAGCATGTATTTCCACCAGTTTTAGGTTCCAGTCTGTTGCCCATTTTCCAAATAGGTCTAGATGTTGCAGCTGATGCCTTGCATGAAACTGAATGAGCAGTACGATTTTATAGTTTTGGCAGTATTCAGTGTTTCCGTTTACTGTATTTTACTTGTAAAAACGTCAAAGGACCGGTATATTTATGGCAAACAAGTCCTGGGGACCGGCAATAAATTCACCTTGGTAAATTATTTCCTCCAAATAGGCAATGAAAATTACCAGCAACTGTTAAGATTTAAGGAAACTGCCTAGTAAATTTCATCGGTGTCATGTTTGATTGTAATTTAATACATTTATTCTTATTATAAAATGAAACACAAACACACACATAGTCATGCTTGTAGCTTTATTAAAATGGAAAAGAAAATTGACCGGTTAAATTAATAAGGGACTGGTTTATTCGAGGCTTACCAGTCACATGGACTGGTCAATTTGAGGATCACCGGAAACACTGGTATTCCAGCAATATCATGGAAGAGTCACAAGAACTTGATTTACCCAAATGAAGTCTTTGCGTAATGAGTTAACACTGTAACCGCTGGCCTACCTAACTACCCCTGTGACACTGAGACTCCATGTGATTTGGGAACTTTTCAGTCATATGCATGTACATGAAAAACACATGAGTTGACAGAGAAATTTTCAGTCAATGAAAATATATTTTGAATACCTTATCCTTACTTTTATGTTTCAAGGCCATGTTAACTGTCCTTATCCTATATCGCAAGAATAATGTTTCATTTTTTTAAAAAGGTTAAGCAGACTAGGGTATCAAAATGAACCCCCAAAACTATTTTCTCCTGCATCTCTCTGACATTTGGTTATTAGTCATTAAAATATATATATATATAACATTTAATTTGTAGTCATGTATGGATGCTCCTAAGAATAGTTGTTTTCCTGACTAACAGTGTCACAAGTGTATTTTCATGAAGAGTTGTGTATTTTTTTCAGGAAGATCATCAAACCAGTCTGGACGTGTACCTACGATATGTGTGGCAGAAATTGCTCTACAGAAGGTCAGAATTAAATCCAAACCTTAATTCAAAATGGTTAAAATGAACTATTTGAGTACTTTATTAGTAACAGAAGAAATAAGGATTAAGAAAACATATTTTTGTTTTTGTTTAATGCCATACTCAACAGATTGATAGTGGTCTGTAAGTAACTGAGACATGAATCCAGGGCCTCTGTTTACAATGACATACCATGAACCAAGTCACCGAGCCTGACCACCCAATCCACTTGGATACTTCTCATAAACAAGTAGCTGCATGTAGACCTGTTTTCAGCCTTCTGTTTTTCTGAATCAGATACCTTTAAATTTAAGCAATGAAAACATCACTATGCACCACTATCACAGGCTTGGTTGGTATTTGACTGCTTCTGCTACTTCCTTTTGATCTTATCAACAAGGGGCGGTGGGGTAGTCTAGTGGTTAAAGCGTTGGCTCGTCACGCCGAAGACCCGGGTTCGAATCCCCACATGGGTACAATGAGTGATGCCGATTTCTGGTGTTCCCCGTCGTGATATTGCTGCAATATTGCTAAAAGCGGCATAAAACCAAACTCAGTCAGTCAGTCAGTCTTATCAACAATAACAAAAAATCTTATCTACTCTCCCCAATTTCCCCGTGCCACGGGACTTTTTCAAAGAAAACCTCGGTTTTGATCCTTCACATAGTTAACAGAAAAAATGGTTCATGAATAATAATTATGATATATAATGAAAAGGACCCCAGAGACTTTCTTCATTTTCTGAAACTGTGGAAATCTAGACTTGCTACATATTCTAGACTTGCATGGGCTTATATGGACATATGTGTTTCAGGGTTTGTAGGAGAGATTAGGCCAGGCTCACAGCTTTCTAATCCCCAAAATATCATCAAGCTTGATGAGAATATGTCTTGTGTTTTTGCAATTTTCTAGTTTCATATACTAAAAAATTGCAAATATGTTTCAGGTGGACATCATCGTTAATACTTCCAACAGGAATCTGAATCTCAAGCATGGAGCTGTATCTAAGTCACTTGTTCAATATGGAGGTGATTCAATTCAGAGGGATTGTGATGCATATATTTTAAGAAAGACGCTACTTTTGGTTGGAGAGGTTGCTGTTACAAAAGGAGGGAATCTTCCCTGCAATAGAATCTACCACTGTAGTTTGCCAACTTGTACACCATATGGGAAAACACTTGTAAGTATGACCATATTGGGATCATATATGAATCAGATGTACACAGTTCTGCTCTTTGCTGTCATGTCAGAATTCTTTAATATGCATTGAGGCAAAATTTACATTTACATCATATAAGGTTTGAGGAATGGCATTCCATGTAATAGAAATGAAAGTCCCTGAAGGATTTTAAAGATGTTGCAAATGTCATTTCGTTTTATCGCAGACATAAGGTTGGTTGACTGGTTGGTTAGTTGTTTAACGCCACACTCAGCAATATTCCAGCTATATGGCAACAGTTTGTAAATAAACAATTCTGGACCAGACAATCCAGTGATCAATAGCATGAACATCAATCTACGAACTTGGGATACAATGACATGTGTCAACCAAGTCAGCGAACCTGACCACCCGACCACCCGATGCCGTTGTCTTATGACAAGCATGAGTTACTGAAGATCAATTCTAACCCGGATCTTCACGGGTCCCAGACATAAGGGATCAGTGACAGATTTACCAAACATTCAAGCTACTTGGGAACATGATGTTTATTGTACCGTTTGGCTTCTGTGTGCATGTGCATTACGTGATGAGAAATTTTATTGGGATCAGTGTACGAAATAGCCACTTGCACGCTAGCCCGTGGCTAGTAAAAATCCAGTTGGGCCAGTAAATCTCCACAGTCACTGGCCCAACTGGCTAGTGAATTTTCATGGGGTCATTTTTTAAATATGTCACTCTATCTGACTTGTTAAGTTATAATACACTTTTAAATCATGCAAAATTATGGCCTGATAGATGATGGTATTTTAACTTTTTGTTATCTTTTGCTTAATTTCTACATTCAAATTTCGGGCTAGTGAATTATTTTGTGGTCTAGTAACTTTCAGGCGTAGCTAGACCCCCTTGCTGGCAAAATTTGGAAACTATTTCGTACACTGATTGGGATCATATTTTATGTTCGGACCCAATACCAGGGCATTATAAATGTACTCTTCAATGCTAGCTACATCCAAATCATACAAGTACCCATATCATTTTCAAAAGTATACATACTTAATAAACTTTGCATAGAAATGAACCACTGAATCAAAAATATGATTATATATATATATTCCCATGAATTAATAGTCCGGGAAACTGAAAAAAGCATGTGAAATATGAACATGTATGTGAACCAAATTGTTCTCATAAATCAGCATTGCTGTAAAAGGTACTGTGCAGACTATTAGACAACAAATATACTGAGTCAAAAAAGAAACTTCACAAAATGTAATTTGAAAAATAATGAATAATTTTTCTCTGATGATACATCTATGTATCCGAAATGGGATCCCTATCTTTCGACTCCAGAAAAACGTTAGCAAAACCCACTCAAACCCATCCATTCCTCGTGCAAATGACGTAAGTGCCAAATCAGGTTTTGCGCATGCAGTCGATCACGTGATCTTCGCATCAAAGTTTTCTTCATATGCACATGTTTGCATTGGCCTCAAGAATTGAAAAAACACTTTTAAACCACATTTCTAACGGTACTTGAAATGCCACGATTGTCAAATGTGCAACGTGAACGTGCTGTTGGCATGTTGCAAGCAGGAAGATCAGTTATTGACGTCGCAAGAGCAATGGGATGCAGCCGTCATACTGAGTATGACTTGTGAGGTTGTCTACAACAAACTGGCACCACTTCTGATCGCCCAAGGTCGTGTCGTCCACGTGTGATGTCACGAGCAGAAGACCGTCAAATCGTCCTACGTCACCTACGTGACAGATTTCTGCCGGCTACACGAACCAGGGCTGAGATGTTTAGAGGTCAACTGTTGCGGGCTGCCAATCTCCATTCTCGACATCCATATCGTGGGCCAATATTGACGCCGTTTCATCAACGTCAACGTCTGCTGTGGGCCCAACGTCACCTCCGATGGACCCAGAGAGAGTGGAATCGAGTCGTCTTTAGCGATGAATCCAGGTTTACCCTCAGATTCGCGGACGGCAGGCATAGAGTCTGGAGACGACGTCGTGAACGGTATACGGTTGTGTACAGGAAGTCGACAGATTCGGGGGCGGAAGTTGCATGGTGTGGGGTGCTTTCTGTGGGAACAACCGTTCCGACTTCTGGTCATCCGTGGAAACCTCACAGCTGCTGCTTACCGCGACCAGGTGCTCACCCTGAACTCGTTCCTTTCATGGCGTCTCATGGCCCAGGTCTACAGTTCCAGCATGATAATGCTCGGCCGCATACCGCGATGTTGACACGAAATTTCCTTCAAAACGCTGGAATCAACGTCATGGACTGGCCATCGAGGTCCCCTGACCTTAATCCAATAGAGCACGTTTGGGATGCACTTGGGAGAAGGCTTCGTGGTCTTAGGAACCAACCTCAGAATTTGCAGGAACTTGGCGCTGCCTTGCAAGAGCAATGGCGCAGAATCCCAAACCACGTGTTCACAAGCATCAGGCAGTCGATGAGGAGACAGTGTTTGGCAGTGGTGAATGCGCGGGGTGGCCATACACGATATTGAACTGAGAAATTTCGCATTTTTATTCTTGTGACTTGACATTCTGTATACCCATGTTTTGGAACGGGGTGTAGCCTAATGGAACTGATTATGGCACTGTCAGTGTATCGAGTACATCACACAGATCTCAACAATAAAACATTAACAATTTAACCATCTTACCATCTCTTGTTCTTTTATAGTGCCCTGAAGAAAGAATGTGAAGTTTCTTTTTTGACTCATACATTCAACTCTCAACATCTCTGCGCCTATGATCCATAGATATTAGATATTAGTCAAACAACTTTAGTTTCATGATGCATGTAGGTACTCTCCTCTAAATGTTTTGATAAGGTAACCTGATATTGGACCATGGTCCAAAGGCATGTGAAAAGTCACACTCAGCAGTGATGGTGGGTTACAACATGAAGGTTAAAGGTAGATATGTCAGACGGATTACTAGTATGTCTTTCAGTTAATGGATATAAGTTATGACAAAGTCTTTACTACTGAAGTATTAAGCAATAGTCTTCGTGTGTCTTGATTTAGTTCTTTAGGAGCTCAGTTAATGACTTGTGTCGTTTTCTTTGGTCTTATCATTCCAGATGAAGGACATGATTGGGAAGATGTTAGAATCTGCAGATAAATACAAAAACACCAGCATAGCATTCCCTGCCTTAGGCACTGGCAATCTTGGCTACCCAAGGGAAGAAGTTGCAAAGATCATGTTCAGTGCTGTTGCTGACTTTTGGAAGAAGAATCCCAAAACAAGACTACAGGATGTTCGTTTTGTCCTCTACAAAGGTGATGAAAAAACTATCAAGGTGAGCTCTTTGAAGGCATTATCAAAAATATATTGAAGCCAATCCTAATGAATATATAGGTCAACAATAATAACTTTATCTTATCATATTTTGTTCAGAATCTTAGGTTCAAAATTTACATAGCAGAAATTTGTTAGTCATAGCCTAAACAGATTCCAGTTGAAATAGCAATGAAAATTACAAGAGTATAGAACGCAAAACCAGTGTTAGTGAAAAGGGTAGGCATGTCCTGCTTCTCCGGTAGTATCCATCACTCAAAGTTTAGCGTTTTCACAGATAAGGCCAGACCAATTATATTTCTTGTTTTAAGGATCTGCCGGTCGTATCTTTATAAGATTAAGAAAAAAAAGAAAAAATAATTTTCCCCGCTCAAAAAATATAATCCTAATGTTTTTATTGCCAAAAATGTACACTTACAAGAAAAATTTGTTTAGATTTTTTTTGACCAATATACACTTCACAAATTGCCAAAAGTAACATACTTTTAGTATTTAGAAGGAATATTACCTTGATTGGTGATTTTTTTAAATATTTGTTTTCCCTCCTGCCTTTAGGTTTTCTGAAGACAAAAATCCGTAAAAACAAGAAATAAAATTGGTCAGGCCTAATGTTTTAATATAAATACAGACAGGAACATTTGTGGCTTTTTAACATTTTAGACATTTGACTATGTATCCTGCTGAGCAGTATTGTGGATGCGTAATATTTTTCTTGTACATTTCTGTGCTACGGAAGCTCTGAAGGGACCTGATGAAATAAAATTTATCGTCAGGGCACAAGTTAGTATGTTGAGTGCACAGGTTAATATACTGAGCACACGAGTTAGTAAAATTATGGCGTAAACATTCCCTCTGGATTATGGTTGCCTTAATTCTGTGGTTTCCACAGACACATACAGAAAATGAAATGAAAATTTTAACCTTAAGTCATAGCTAGCCCTAGTGGTATGCCTTCCTCCTAACCGATAAAGTTACCTCCCCTTGACATGACGTCACACCATTGTTGTCTGAAAACCTCACGATTTTTCTGTATTGTCATACAGGGCACACATACAAGATTTGAAGTGAAAATTCTTCTATCTACAAGTCTCCAACACTGATCCATATCATCTGTAGGTTTAGTGGTGTCGACATTTGGTCCTTGGACAATCGTATTTGCTATAAATAATTGTCTATTTTGTTAGATTTTTTTCCCGCCCTTTTTCCCTTAGCATTTTTATTCAGCTATGGCGAAAAGTAAATGTGTTCAATGTAAAAAATTATGTCCGATCTAGACCCTCACTCTCTTTGTTTAGCGTGTGTTACGGGGACCCCCTGCACCCTTGTAGATCGTTGTTTGTTACGCGTCCGACTTGTCAGAAATTCAGTGGCTTAACATGGACGCAGCTAGGCCTCAGCCTGAGAAACGTTCTCCTTGTTCTGAGGCTAGTAAGTCAAAGAATTCTACCCCTGGTGCTCCCTCTTCTCAGAGATCGGAGTCTAAATCGAAGTCGAGGTCTAGATCAAAATCAGAATCTCATTTGGATATTACTGCTATTGCCGATTCGTTTTCCTCATTTAAAAAACGGAGCTGAAATCCTCAGTAAACCAGACTATGAAGGAGATGGAATTTAGGAATGAGGCAAAAATCAACTCTCTACAGAGAATTTATCAAGAGAGTACTGATCATGGCAATATTTCCATGAATAATACTGACTGTTTGACGAGGGCAATGACCGGTTCATCTGTCAGTACCGTGAAGGCTTTAGGTGCTTTACCTGGGAAAGCCGGTTTCCACATACTGTCCCAACCGGAGAGCCATTCCCCACAAGGGGAGAAGCCTAGGGCTTCACTTGATGCAGACGGGTTCAACTGAGTTGATCCCAGGCAGGCTTTGTTCACTGATCGGGCAACACAAGCCATGCCTATTGTCTCCGGGAGCAAGCCTCCTAGTCACACAAAGCCTGCCACCTTGTCCCACACGGGGAATTGGCTTCAGCCGGTTAGCGGGACTGATCACATGCCCTTGGGCTTCATCTCCCAGCCTACTGCTGGACAGCAAGCCACGACTTCCACGGGAGGTAACGGCAATGAGATTTCTTTGTCTGCCAGTCACGTGCCTAGCGGTACAGCCATGGGCCCCACGGACTATATTGATACTGACAGGCCGCCAATTTTACCCCTGGTACCGGATTTATCTGACTCAGAGAGTACTTCAGTTAATCCGGTTTCCCAGCCGGACTTTATAATGAAGGAAGATTTACTCACTGTTCAGCCTGTGGATGCTTCGTCTGAGGATTTTACCCCGGGTTGGTCAATCAGGCAGAAAGTAGAACTGATTCATGGCTTATATCCAAGCACGGTCCCGCCACAATTGGATGAACCAGAACAGGAATCACCAGTTGAACTAGGAACTTCGGGCTGCGTGCCTCAACAAAGGATTTCCAGATTATCTCTTCCTCATACATCGGCCTTGAAATCTTCGTTGGATTCTTACAACACTAACCTGGCCAAGGAGTCCTCACTCAATGCCATCCCTAGGGTGTCTCAGAAATCCGTTTATGCCATCCATTATAGACTAATTCAGGCTAATGCGCCACAGGTGAATACAGACTTTGCTCGGATCCAGGATTTTAAGGCTAAGGACTCTTCCTTTAACTGTCTGCCACATATGGATACAGACTTTGCTCGGCTCCAGGATTTTAAGGCTAAGGACGCTTCCTTTAACTGTCTGCCACAGATGGATACAGACTTTGCTCGGATCCAGGATTTTAAGGCTAAGGACTCTTCCTTTAACTGTCTGCCACATATGGATACAGACTTTGCTCAGCTCCAGGATTTTAAGGCTAAGGACGCTTCCTTTAACTGTCTGCCACAGATGGATACAGACTTTGCTCGGCTCCAGGATTTAAGGCTAAAGACGCTTCCTTTAACTGTCCTTTAAGGATCTCAAGGCAGATGTCGCTGCCCGTACATCCATAGACATTTATTCTTACACAAATTGGTTTGCGGCAGGAGTACGAGCCTTGCTGCCGCCACTATTCCAGGATTATGAGGGCATTAAAAAGGACACATTAGTATCTATGTCAGCAGAGGAGGTGGCTATGGCACATTCCTTTTTGGATGTAGTTTATCAATCAGTGGTGTATGCTACACATAACCAACTCTGTACACTGGGAAGACTGACGGCTATGGAGAGAGGATATAGATTGAATTCTATCAGAAGCCTACCGGAGTCGGCTAAGGATTTACTCTTCCAACTGCCCCTGGATTCGGAGTCCTTGTTCAATGGACAATGTAGCCAAGCTATACAGGCTAAGGATGCAGTTACATCTCAGTACTTGAATCAGAGACTAGCTTTGGCCTTACTTTCCCAGAACAGGAGCAGACCACAGTCTAGAATTAGGAGAGATTCATCTGCTAATACTACCCAGTCATCTACCTACAGCCATCAGGAGTTGCTTCAACGTTCTGCTTTTGAGAGAGCTGTTGATGCTAAGCCGTTCCCTCCGTTCAAGTTAATTCCGGAAGTACTAACCAAGATTGCACAACACAAATGTGTAGTTTATCTGGTAGCACCAGCATGGCCAACCAGGGCGTGGTTCACGGGTCTTCTGCATCTATTGACAGACAAGCCTCTTTGACTTCCACTTTGGGAAAATCTTTTCAGTCAGCCCAAGTCGAACACATTCCATGAGAATGTAAGTCTCCTATCGCTTCACGTATGGAGGCTAACTGTAGTTCCCTCAAGGAACAGGGATTTAATGAACAAACTACTGTGGCTATCTCCGAATCTATTAGACCCTCAACAGTAGCCCTTTATGACGCCAAGTGGAATGTCTTCATCCAGTGGAGAAGAGAGCAAAAACTCCTCAGTTCTCCAGTCACCACTCCGATTATAGCGGACTTTCTCCTCTATCTAAGGACGGTTAAGAAATTAAACCATAACACTATTGAAGGCTACAGGTCAACGATTGCTTCGGTTTTGGATTTACAAGGTTCATCAGTGGGAGCAAATCGTTCCTTGCACAAGCTTATTAGATCGTTTCAGATCAAGGACATTTCTTCTCCAACAGTGTTTCCCAAGTGGGAACTGTGCTTAGTTTTACAAGCTCTGCAGAGATATCCTTTGGAACCTATGCAAGATACCTCTCTGAAATATTTGAGTTTCAAAACAGCTGTCCTCTTTGCCTTCGCCACGGCCTCAAGAGTATCGGAGTTACATGCAATTGACGTTAAATCTATTGCCTTTGCTTAGGGATATAAATCGATGTCTTGTAGGACAGTACCAGAGTTTGCAGCCAAGATTCAGTGAGCCACTGCAGGTCCTTTGGGACACAGATCTTATGAAATACCAGCCCTTCCTGCCACTGCTTCAATGTTGGATAGATCAAGGTTACTATGTGTAGGATAAAAGACGACTCCGAAGTTTTGGTTGAGAATGTAAAACCTCAGGGGAGTCGTCTTTTATCAAACTTATAAACCGTCTAAAACAACAAAAATTACTCAAACAAGCTCGGAAAATTAAACACATACAGTCTGAAACGATTACACCGCGGTAAAATGAAGAGCATAAGGATCACTTGAATCTGCCATGTCATGCTCAACATCCGGGTACCTCGACCGCATGGTCTCATCAGTTGACTGAAAGATACGGTAGCGAACATGTCTGACAACGAACTGTTTCAGACACAATGATGATGAAGAGGACTAAATACAAAAACGACTGGGCGTTGTCTGTGTTCAGTCACTGGCAGAAGGAGCGCTGTCGACGGCCCATGAAGGATAATATTGCCCTCTCATGTGGATGTCTGAAAACTAACTTGTGGATATGATGCCAGAAGTTAACACGGCAATGAAATACTTCATTTTCGAAACCAGAAATGTGGACGGTACTCCTTACCCATCAAGTACTCTGTATGGTTTGTTTGCGGCTTTGTCCTCTGTAATGAAAATGACTGGATCAAGAAAAAGTTTGTTCGAACATGATGAGTTTGCCGAATGTAGAAAAGCTCTCGATGCCGCAATGAGGGAAAAGTCTGCTGCTGGGTTCGGGACGTTTGTATGTAAACACACGGAGATAATATTGGAGGAGGAAGAGGAACGCCTTTGGGAGAAAGGGATTCTAGGAGAAGAAAATCCCCAACAGCTCCTTGATACTGTTCTTTATTGACAGGTGAGTAACAATCTCTATAACTATACGTGTATATCAATATTGAATACAAGCACGGAACCGAGGGGAGGGGGTATTTCAGGGGGGCACACTAAATTCAAAAACAATCCTGTATCCTATTTATCTCAAAAGAAATTCAAATCTGCTTAGCTTTAATTTTCATTCTGTTTAGTTTGTAATCAAACAGTTACTTTTTACAGGACTGCATTTTGCGTTACGCGGAGGTAAAGAACGCCAAAGCCCCCGGTTGCATAGCAACCCTCAGATCACTGGCCCACATCAGGACACAGGCGGCCAACCTTATCTGTGTTACACGGAAGATGTGTCTAAAATTAACTAGCGAGGAATAACCCAGAGGAAACTTAAACCTAAAGTAGTTCGAGCCTACGAAAATGAAGATTCAACGAGATGTTACGTCCGACTTTACCAAAAGTACAAGTCGCTGTGGTAAGTATAAATAATAATAATAATAATAATAATAATAACGAATAAATAAATGAATACAAAAATAAGTGTAAATATAAATACATGAATATATGATACATTTAGAAATACAATTAATGTATATTTCTGTAAAATGTTACAGTCTCCCTTCCAAAAAGGATGCGTTCTATTTCACGGCGGTGAAGAGGCCGAAGGATGACACAGTGTGGTACCTGGATGTTCCGGTGGGACATAATACTTTGCAGAACACTGTGAAAAGAATATGCAGTCAGGGAGGCACAGCAGGTCGTAAGACGAACCATTCTCTTAGAGCAATTGCAGCTTAATTTAGGTTGTTTCAGGCAACTGTTGAGGAACAACTTATTTGTGAACACACTTGTAAAGTTTAATGAATTTTTAATTTAGAATTTTTGCAAATACCATTAAAGTTCTGTTTACAGTAAGTAGTACGTACGATGTGTTTTGCAGGAATAAATCGTCAGTTTTGTATTACTTTACACAGATGGCAAATATCTTTTCTTCAGGTCATAGGAGCAATGCTGTGCGAACCTACAAAAGAAGCAATGACGCCCAGAAGGCCCTTGTGTCTGACATAGTTGCAAATAATCACCACCACCACCACCACCACAAAAACTGAGAAGTTGACTGCATCAGAATCTGCTACCAAACCCACTGCAGAGAGTACAACAGGGTTGGATGCTCATCTCGAGCGTGGAAACATTTCCATTACCTTCAATTTTCACTAAATTACGTATTCAGAAATAAAGTGGCAAAGTTTGTTGGGTGTTTTATTTCCATTGGTATGTCTGCATAGACATGCACAGCAAAATGTTTCATTTAGTCGTGTCTGTAACATGAAAAACTTAATCACTCTCCTGTCACAGATTTATTTAAAGACAGTTTTGACACAACCAAAACAAACATTTCGCTGTGTGAAAAATTCTCAGGGTATGAGGTTTTACAACGACCATTGTAAAACTTCGTACCTCGTATGAGGTTTTACAATGATCATTGTAAAACCTCCTGCAATCGTAAAACCTGTACCGAGGTTATTCCATAATGCGAAGCAACTGCAAGAACAATAGACGACATTGGCCATAGGTTTATAAGCCTGATCCGAGCCCTTAGATGGTACCTACAATGCACATCTACCTTTCGACGTAACCGTCGCCATCTCTTTCTCTCATGCAAGAAAAATGTAGATACAGAGATTTCTAAGAACATTATTGCTTCATGGCTCAGGAAGACTATTGCCTTCGCTTATCGAGGGTTAGACCAGGAATCAGTTACCAATAGATTTTCCCTTCATGAGATGAAGGCCTCCCTGGGTCCTTTAGAAATGGCACAGCACCTCTTCTCTGCCTAGTGCTTTTTTTTTGGGGGGAGAGGAGATAAAGATAGAGAGATTTATTACTAACCGAGCACTGAGGTGAGGTTCAGTATTCTAGGGAGTAGAATTTCTGTCGTACCATCCTTTTAGGTTTGGGGGTTAATCAACCAGAAGTGACGTCATTTAACCAGAAGTGACGTCATTAACCGGAAGTGACATCATAGGCCGGAAGTGAACTTGGAGAATAGACCGGAAGTGACGTCAGAGAACCGGAAATGACGTAAGAATATCGGAAATGACGTCAGAAGGATGGATATTGGAAATACTTGTTTTAGAGGTATAGATAATAATACATATTATCTTGTCAGGGAGAAAGACTCTACTCACCTAGCAGTTTAGTAGTTATCTTCCTTCACATTATTAACACATTCCTATGATTTTATCAGGGTTTTATACATTACTAAGTCATAGTTATCTTAAGAGGTCATGGATGTTTTGAGGAATATTAACTAGAGGTATGTTAGAGGATTATTCTACTAGGGATAGCCCTCCTTCCGTATGTGGGATTCAGGCTAACCATAATCCAGAGGGAATGTTTACGCCATAATTAGGAACAATTACATGTATTGTTAGTAATTGTTAGTAAACTTACCTCTGGATTATGGGGTAAATGTCCCGCCCAACCTTCCCCGCCTTATCCTCTAGAAGACAGTTTTTATTTGGAAAAATTGTGAGGTTTTTCAAACAACAATGGTGTGACATCATGTCAAGGGGAGGTAACTCTATCGGTTAGGAGGAAGGCATACCACTAGGGATAGCTATGACTTCATTTTCTGCATGTGTCTGTGGAAAGTATCGTTAGTATGCCACTTGAAGCATATGGTGAGGTGCATGTCCCTCTTTGGCACCAGATACCATAGCTGACAACTTCGATGGTCTGGACAAAGACATGGTTATCTTTGGATGCATAAAAAATGTATCCAATATGGTTTAATCGTGTGTGTTGGACCCGAATGGTGTTGAATTTCGCTCAAGACACCATCTTCATCAATGTGTCTATTCTTCAAAGGGACCTAACTTCCTCTGTTGTTAAAACATGTTAAGTAAACGTTATGTGTTCAAAGAAATAGCATTGTTCTTGGACGTTTGATAAAATATATGCAAAGAAAACAACAACTTTCAGCGCTCCAAAACTCAAAATATTGATTAGCATGCTTTATACAGCTGTACGGGCCTGGGCCTGCTTTATGTAATAAAGCAAAAAGTGGTAAAATCAGTTACAAAGAATAGTATTGACAAGCATTAAGATGAGAACGTTTACATTTGCATTCTTGTACATAGTCTCATCATAAGTGCCTAGTTAACTCTGACTTTGCATCGTTTGAAATCTTCCAAAAAGGATATAAATTTGTACATTTGAGCCAGCAGCCAACCAAATGTGCGTTCCAGTAATGCCATTAGATGCTAAACACGAAGTTGAACATTCAGCATACTAACTCGTGCGCTCAAGATAAATTTTATTTCATCAGGTCCCTTCAGCGTTTCCGTACTATGCACATACCTCTAGTTTGGAAAAATATTCAGGAATTCAAACATCATGTAAGAGACATCATATTAAAACTGCATGAAGTTGTATAGGTCTTCAATGGCTAAGATGGCTCCTGATAGTTTGGGATGGAGACAAAATTAATAAATCATAACGTGTCTGTAACAAGTTTTGAGGATTGAGGAAGTGTCTAAATGTATTGAAATTCTTATGAATAATTAAGTCAGTATTTTCCCAGGCATTTCAAGATGAAGAAAAATTGAGGGGATCACCAGACCCACCTTTAGTACCACCCCGGTCCAGTAAACCAGCCCATTTGACCAACAACAGTGGTGGTAAAAGTGCCCCAACTCCACCGCCAGCGGTGTTTCATATGGTTCCCGTCAAAGTTGTTGTCAAACAGGGCAACATTGCTGAGGAAAAAGCACATGTAATCATCAACCCAATCAACACAGATATGAACCTGAATAATGGTAAATTTGGTGCAGTGAAATCCACCATGCTTTATCTGATTTTAGCTCATTGACAGTAAGGTGAACAGATATATGGTCTGTTTGTTTTTCATTAGTTGTGTGTCTAAACACCTCACCAGAAACCAATGGACCTTTTCAAAAGGAAATCTTAAGTTTTATTCTTTGACATTGAACCATTGAGGAACCCTGATCATGTAAGTTGTTATTTCTCACCTTAAGTTATGGTAGCTTTCACATATTCATCATCAGCTGCCTGAACAAGATCCATCTGACAATTTTATCTTCTGCATTTTACATTTGAAAAAGGAAAGAGATTAATGTTGAGGCTTTGATTGGATAATATCTGATTCTGCATTTACCTTAAAATCTCAAAATTTGATGCCTGAGCATTTACTCAGATGAATGATATCCTCTGTTATTTATGCATACCATCTAAACACTTTTATTTCCCTGGCATATAATGCGGGTGGATATTAGTCAGTGCCTCATCTGTCTGTCCGTCCATCCATCCGTCCGTCCGTCCGTCAGTAATCATTTTGTCTCCAGAGCATGTCTCAAAAACTTAACATTTTTCAACAAAAATTGGTAGATATATCAAACAGAACCTTAAGTGGTGCCTTTTGCTATTTGAGGATTTGGGGTATTTTTATTTCTTTTACGATTTCTACTGAGACTAAGTTGGACTTTAAGTAACTGTCAGATGAATTGTTTTTTCAATTTTGGGGGAGCTGGGCCAAGGGAATTTGTCATTTTCTGATGACTTTTGTTTACACTTAAATTATCCCATGTGGGTAAATAGCCATCAGTAAACAATATTGACAGAAGCACATAATGTTCACTGCATGCATCATTAAATATGTTCACATGAGACAATGTCTTCCTCAGCTGATGAACAAATACTACTATGTAGGAAAACATCTCATTCACCAAGGCTATTGTGGAATATATTTCACTGATTACACAGATTAGCATTCCCTGCCTTGATTATTCCCTACTATGAATAATACTAATCATTTTTTAGCATGCTTCGCTAAAAGATCAAAGATGCCAATCGTGCCTTATCAGCGGATAAAGTACACTTTTTTGCATAATGTCACACTGTATTGACATCACCACTCCATTCTCGTCTGATGCATCGTAATGAAACTTACCCTTGGTGACCGACGTCACAATGAATGTCAGTTGTCAGTCGCCTCCTATAGTAAACTACTCCGTAGGACCCCGTTTCATGATTTACTGTTGCTTCACTTGGCTAACATCACAAGTGGAAACATTACGTTTAATTTTTTTTGAAAAATAAATGTCTCAACTCAAATTAAACACAATTAAACATCGACATGGCAATGTTAGCTGACTAAGACTGTGTCCACAGTCCCACGATGCATCTGTGAAATGTCACGCGACTAGTCAACTTGTCTGGATTTACTGTTCTAAACTTTCGTTGGTAATAGAAATGTGACAGTTATATTGCCCCATATGGTTTACGATAATCACAGATGTAATTAAAATTATATAGAGAAGATATTTAACCCAAAAGTAACTGTCTTCAAAATGTTTACCATTTGTTTTCATGGCGATGTGCGCCTTAACGTAGGGATCAGACACGTCACTGGAAGATCCTGTCAGTTAGCCCTGATCAAGGTTTGTTAATTTAGGTCACTGACACTGTCGCTTTTCTGTTTGTTTTCTGCCTGTGAATCAAATTTGGCATCTTAGAAAAGAAAGACAGTTCGCTCTACCCCCATGTATAGTGTAATAAAGTACCCTTTTCCTTGGACTATTATAACATTAAAGCACTTGAACGCAAGTGTCTCCATATTTTAACTAAATTAGTTCAGGAAAACTTTATTATTACTTTATTACAGTATTCATTGGCGTAGAGTGAACTGTATTTCTTAGTTATAGCACTTTAGTCTCCATAGATGGTGTTTCTGGGGTTAATCTGTTGGGTTAGCATAGTTTATAATGTATGTATATTTCATTTCTAGGAAGTGTTTCAAGAGCTCTACGCAAAGTAGGTGGATCAGCATTTGAGGAGAAAACCAAGCATTCATGTAAGAAATGTTGTCCTTTTTATGACAATACTGGGGGATATAGTAATCGGCTTTGTCTGTCCGGGTCCATCTATAATATTTTCTTGTCCAGACCATATCTCTAATAATGTAATAAGAAATCATCCACAAAACTTAAGCACACATTGATCAGGTTGTCCTTTGATATTTAGGGTTTTTTTCGAATTTGTATTTATCCTGTTACTATGGCAACAGGTATGACTCTGACTCTGTTGACAGTGATGTGTTTTCTTAAGGCATGTCTCCCAAACTACCAGCTTTTCTCATATTAACCCTTCCTCAGCTGGTATTTGACAGAAAATAGATTGTATGTTCCATATATATACTTTCAGGAAGTTGGACATATGACTCTTGTAGGACTTGATGATTATCTGTATCAAATTGGGGAGATTGGGGATTTGCCATCTCTTGATGGCTCACATTTTGTGACTATGGAACTTACATATATTTTGTAATTCTTTATGTTTTTAGATTGTCATAAGCACACCATGACATCTTCAGTCACGCTAGTCTGTTGGTGGTGCGGGATTTACGCTTGAGTCCTGTATTTGATGGTCCCCTGGGACTCATACTCTTAATTTTCAGGGTCCTGGACAACAAAATGGGGTCCCAGACACTTAAATATTATTATTAATACTGTTATTGTATTGTGTATCATGATCATCACACTGTTACTGTAATTAAATTGTAAATAATAGCATAACCCAGCTAGTAGCAAACTCAGTGATAACTTATTGGCAGCGTTTAGGAAGGGCTGGTAAGATTTTCAAGTAGCTTTTCCTGTTGTCTAGAGGGACTCTGAGAAATTGGATACCATTTTGATGATCACATTTTTTTTTCCTTTTACAGCAAAATGGTTGCAAGAGAGGAGAGTAGCTGATGTTTTGATGAATAACGGTGTCAGAGTCTGCCATGTGGATCGCCGGTTTGTCAAAGAAAATCAGTTTCAAGCCATTCTCACTTGCCTGAAATATTCAGACAGTTTGTTGGATAAAATAGTCGCTTTCCCCATTCTTCAAACAGGTAGGTATTTTTCGATTAGTGTTCATCTTCATGTTGGTTTGGATTTGGGCTTTGTTTCAAGCTCTATTGACTGTATGTCAAGTAAACATGTCCTTTTACATGTCCAGCAATGTCTGGGTTCATGGACAGTAAACACCTGCTCAGAAATCACTGGACCTGTGAAGATGAACTTCACATACTTGTTCAATGACGACCATAGTTAAAACTTCACATACACCTCACCGCAATCATAGAAACTTCACTTGTTCCCACCAATGACCTAGTGCCTTCAATGAGATGAACTTCACATACTTGTTTCCCACCAATGACGCCATAGTTAAAACTTCACATAATTTAGTTCACCAATGACGCCATTAAAACTTCACATACTTGTTTCCACCAATGACGCCATAGTTAAACTTCACATACTTGACCGCCATCATAGTTAAAACTTCCCACATACTTGTTCCCACCAATGACGCCATAGTTAAAACTTCACATACTTGTTCCCACCAATGACAAACCCTTTCTAATGATTAGGATGTCTTACGCTTCACTTCCTATTTCTTGTCAGATGAGTTTGAATTTTTGTGTTCATTTGTCCCAGCTGCATTTGTGCCTAGCCACAATGGAGTAATAGTCTCTTGGGATTTGTAAATTACCATTCTATCATGTCTTTTTCAACTAACCTAGGATTTCATAGGCATGAGTGCTGAGTCTTGAAGTTTGTATGTATTTTGTCTGCTGTTGCCTCTGTCAGTCTTGAATTGTTAAAGATCTGTCCTGAGTCCACCTGAAGCCTCCTATGTAGCATGCACAAAAATCTGATTTTTCCCTTGTCCATTCTCCCATGGTTCTTTGTTGGTTCTTCTTTCTGCAATTATGGAGGGAAATTATTTCCTTATCTCCTTATTGAAGTCTTCCCTCCACAAAGAATGAGATGAAACGTTCTACTGAGTGATTCCTCCTTGAAATGCTTAGGCAGAAACTGTTCGCCTGCCCACATGCACTGTGTAGGTTTTAGAGAGCATCCCAAAAGTCTCCAGGTTCTGGCATCTGCTGAATTGAATTAGGTTGTTTTCCTCTGGTCTACTTCTAGAGGCCTAGTTATATCCTGGCCTAATGATGGGTTGGAGGATGACTCCAAGGAGCTTGAAGTACCCCCTGTTGCTCCATTGTGGCTGTCCTGAGTTTGTCTGAAGCTGTTTTCATTCATGATGAACTATTTCTTGCTGAGTTGGAAGTTTAGGGTTTCACAACATTCATGATCTCAAATGCCCTGAACAACTGTGTCTAGAATTAGTTGGATCTATTCGCTTCTTGAATTTGAAATTTCAAATGATATAATTTTCTTCTGTACTTGAAGATTTATTTACTTCCATCCGAGGGTGACTCTGCCCAGGTCCTGTCTGAGTCTCACGAGCTTGCCTCCTACCACGGTACTAGACGCTCCTGGCCACTGGTCATGAGCTGCCCTGAGGTAACGTCTCTGAGGAGGCCAAGGGACAAGTCCTGCTCACTTGGAAAGGATGTTGGAGCATCTGATAACTTCTCAATGATGAGGAAGGATGCCATCCTGAGAGAGGTGTGATGGACACGAAGTTCTCCTGATTCCAAAGGAGGGCCTCTGAAGGAGTTGTGTCACCAAGCTGTGATCTCCCAGAGGATGTATTTTGAGTCCCTAGGGCTGGGTCAGATGATGGATCTCCGGATCATATTGCTATCGACCTTAGAGGAATAGGGAGGGTGGCTCAAGGAATTCCATCTGAGATGATGGGAGGATTGTCTCATCCTGAAGTACACAGCACAACTTTGATAGATTACAACTTGCTTGCTTTGAGGACTTGTATGTATCTTCACTGAGATTGTCCCCTGTTCAGGGTGTAGGGTCCCTTCCCAATGATCCAATCCATTGAGTCTTCCCAGAGGCTCATCACAGGTGACTACCTAGTCAGCCATGTGACTGGACTTAGATCCCTCCTCCACTGTACCTTGAGACTCCATGGATGAGTCAACAGAGGATTCTGCCCTGGGCCACGCCACTGGCTTGAGAAAGGCAGCTGCCTGCCTGCCCCAGACCCGGGAACCCAAGCAAGAGACACTGATGCTGATGGCCTGAGTGGGAATGTCTTCAAAAGCCTCAATGGTCAGGAACTCCCAGTCATGCTCACCAAGCCTCGAATGAGGGGTCCTCCATCACCTTATGATTCATGATTCACACCACACAGGCCAACCCTCGCTGCCCACTCCAACCATCCCCTCATGCCCATACCTGGAGACCACTGCACATCCCCCCCATGGGCTTATGGAAATTCTATCCCGACCGGATATTTCTCGCTGGGCGTCTTCGCCATTACGTTATCGCCATCTGATACCATTCCCATTGAAATGCTCGCTGGCGAACAGTTTCCATTCCCGATGGAACCGCCGAAGTGAATTTCATCCCGGTGCTGCGAACGAATCACTTCAGCGCTCCTATAGCAGTCATGTAAGATCGCCCGCAGAAGCGTCGCGGCGGACTTCCAGTTTCGCCGTCATTTCATACGGCAATCAACGTCATAACAGCACAATTCTTCCCACCGATATGAATTTAATTCGCTTCAGCCAAGGCAGCGTTCCGGATCAATAGAATCTTCGCGAACGATTCTGCTGTGTCGCCGTAGTTCCTAGCTTCGGTTGATTACTGCTTCATCCTTCTGATTCTGCTATAGCTTTTCGAATCACGTGGTATCACGCGTGACATTTATGCCCTGTTCTGCTTTAAATTGGTAACGATCGTAAGTACGAGGAGCCCGTCAACCTGCTTTTAAGCATAAAGCGCCTTTATTCCTCCACAAACCGCCTTCCATCAGATTGTGCTAACAGGTAGTAAAGCGAAATTCCGTACGTAACACCATATCATCATGGGTGACGAACGATCCTCCACCGGGAACCACTTCGATATCAGTAAGACATACGCTTTCGCGTGTAATCCTGACTTTATGTGCGATTGATTATCTGCTACGCGCTGCATATCGCCGCCAGCGTCCATTCCAACAGATCACTACTTTTGACACCGTCGAAAGCGTATTATTCAACGGTATGTTCACTGGCGAAGCGTCATCCCGTATGGAAGTGAAAGATCTTGCCGCGATATGCTGACTTGATATAGTCCCGTCGCATATGCTGATATACTTGAGCCGGTAATCACTGTCCGGTCCGACGAATCCAGCGACCGTATCCGGTTATGATTGATATGTTGTGGTTTCATTGTTCTTGAGAATCAAATTTGATGGATCGGTATGGTTATTTGGTTTTGAGTCGAAGAAAGTGAATTTTCCCGTTGCGCTTAGAAATGCATGAATGTCAACCCATTCCTGGTACTGGCGTTCTATTATTCTGCGAATTGAATCATCATTGATGGCGGTTCTTGACGAATGAAAGTTTCATCGATTTATACGGCGATACGCATTGACTTCGTTCCAGTATGAGTCTACGCAATGAAATGTAAAATAGTCTACTCCAGCATCATACGATATGTATATAATATTTCTACGCCAATATCTCGCGCACCATTTTAATCACACGGTGAGTCGAAACGATGTGATGCAAGATCCCAAGTGATTGATTCGTGATATCGCCCATCGCACCAGATCTTTCGCGCCATGGTCCGCAGTATTTATCCCATGTATGCTTCATATTTCGGACGGATTCGAGGGTTGACCGCCTGCTGATAGTGCTCCGGACGTTGAATGATCCCACAAATGGTTCATATGATACCAACACGCGTCATGAAATTGCGCATAACGCTTCCTTCCAATATCCACAGCCGACGGACCTTGATCGGACGTTCCTATGAGGGTTGCCAGAACATTTGCCAAAGACCGGTGCTGCGTTTGTAGTGCTGGCGAATGGTTGAAGATCGCGTCCTGCAGCGCGATTCGCCATCTTCATTCCGTCGTTTCTGTCGAATGGGTGTTCGCGAGATGGATAGATACGTCTTGTCCGGCACGTTCCTCCCGTTCCGTTTTATCTGGTTTCGCCAGTACGATGGCTTATTTTGAGAAATAATTTCGGCAATCATCATCACTATTCGCTGAACGAGTTCATGGAATATCCCGATGTTGTCCGCTGCCCATATGGCGAACCCCAGCGAGAAGTTTGCCGGATTGTCTGCCTTTTTGCCGGGCCCAACGCATGGCGATTTTATTCCGGTAATGATCCCCGACAACCACCCAATGTCGCAGGCCGGATCAATCGTAGCATTGATTCTGGCGTTTTACAACGCCATGGAAAACACGGCGTCCTGCGATCCACCTGACCAGTGAAACGCGATCTGAATGGCGGCGGGCCACGCAGCTCAATTCCATGAGACGGTTCACATCCTCCATAACGGTTGATTCGGCCGTGCCGGCGAACCTCTGCATCCCGCCATGATCAGCATGGCCGGTCAACCCTCGGATCGTCCTACAAACAGTGATGCCACATCTGAAGAAACTAAAGAAATTGATGAAGACGCATCACCCGTCCAACGCTGTTTGCCCCGGTTCGCGAGCGCCATATCCAGATCTCCGCCATATCTGCGATGGGTGAGATTGCCGGAACTTCGGCAGATCCTTCCGTCGCCCAGCCGACACGATTCCATCCGCCCGTACCGTGATCCACGGACAGGGGCAACGGACATGGGCATCTCCTGCCTAGGACTAAACACTTTACGGTTTCTCCACCAGCTCTAATACCTAGGGTATTGCAGAAATCAGTCAGGCGAGAGACCCACAACTATTTGGGGCACTCCTTGACCAGCGTGAGAATATGAATTCCTATTCTCATACAAGACCTAGGACTGCTTCTACTGCAACTACCAGAGTGTGCGATCTGCTAGTACATCCTCACACAAAGCGAAGCGACGGCAACCCGGAGGTGTTCCCGCTGCTACATGTGTGGACTGTATCAGGCATGCTTGAACAAAGAGGATATTACCGCCAGAGCAGCCAAAACGGGTCACACTAGCTTTACACAAGTTCACGCCAACTTGTCTGATGACAAGTAGTGGCGCTTCAAACAATAGGTATCGCTTTGCTGGATCGGCTTCACAGCCATGAAAGTGACACATCCTCAGTGGTGGACTACCTTTGTCACCTAGACAAAGGAAGTGGTTAAAGGGTCAACACTCTCAACATACCTAGCGGCATTGAGAGCAGTTATCGTCATGAGGGACGAGTGCAACTAATAAAAGTACTAGAGTTACTGGTCGTATTTTCATGCCCTTTTAATTGGAGGACCAACAACAGAGATTTAAAGCTCTGCATGGGACCTCAGCGTTGTTCTACGACATCTCACTAGTGACAGCTACAGTAACCATTACAGAGAACATCTTAGAATTCCTTGACGCAGAAGGCGCTTGTTCCTGATAACCTTAGTAACAGCAGCAAGGATGTCGGAAATACATGCTCTTGATGGGAGAGAACACGATTTGATACAAATCAAATATCGCGGCATATGGGACTGAGATGGGACTTCATAGCAAGAATCTACTGCCAGGTCATCCAGACAGACAGTTCCACGTCCCAACACTATCATCAGCCCTTGGACCACGGGATGCGCAGGTCTTATCCTTGTGCCCAGAACGAGCATGGAAAGTTTACCTACAACGCTCCAGGTACATGAGATGGAAATTCAAGTGTCTTTCGTCTTGATATCAACGGCTGCAGGCGACGGGTCTTCCGCACTAAGGTATCAAGCTGGATCAAAACTGTCATCCTAAAAGTACCTACAAAAGCAGCAGGACTGGATCCTCCAAGAGCCTCCAACTTACACATGCAGTGAGAGCTCTGGCGTGAACGCTTCTCTATACTTGGGAATCGCTCTATCAGGGCCGATAATGAAGGGCTGCTTCTGGAAATGGGACATTGTGGTTGCCAACCATCACTTGAAGAACATCGCCACTGAGGACAGCTTTTACATTCACCATTTCGGCCCACTTATTGTAACACAACAATTGACAGTCCCACTAAGGCGCTAAGACGGAGTCTCGCCCTTTTTATCGCATAACTTACTAAGCTTACACTCAGCGGAGTTCTGCTTAAGTCACAATGCACGTCTAACAACTTGCATAAGTAATATGACCCGTTACTTGTAAGGATACTGGTACATGTACAGGAATGGGTCGCTTCTACCCACTTGGTGCTTGCATCAAAGAGTTACAGTCGCGAAAATCCAATACAATGTTAACAGATGAAAGGACCAAAAGTTAACTTTTGTGGTCAACCCCCCATTTTAAGGCAGCTGGAAGGTTAGAATTCGCCCAACAGCAGCAGAGTTTACTAGTAAATACAGTGCCATTCACTGAAGTTCCCATAGGGGTATATAATGACGTAAAATTCACTAAAGAAATCCTAAAGTGCTTTTCCCACCACCTTTCCGGCCGGGTTTCTACAAGCAAAAGAGCATGAGTCAGGATAAGGAAAAATATGTAATTTTCTGAATAAAATTGATATTTTATACTTATCCTGACTCATGAGGTAAAGCCAACCCATCCTCCCATCTAGACACTTTGGATTTCCTGCAAATTCAAGTGTCGGGCTCATAATCAGGAGAGTGAGGCATGTGGGCACGGTGAAGCGCTTACAGTTTCCCTTCTAAACGGCTGGAGAGATAACTCTTGGTAGGAGTGATTTTCGTCTATTCTTTATTGAAGGGAGCTTCAATAGGAGATACAAGTGTTCCACTATGTTCAAGTAAGAAGAAGAAGACAAGCAAAAGAGCATGAGTCAGGATAAGTATAAAATATCAATTTTATTCAGAAAATTACATTTTACAGACATTTATTCATGGTTCAAATGTATAACAGGTAAAGGGTATAGAGTTATCAAGAACATACTCTTGTGCATTCTCCTCCCACAGAGGTTACTCCTGTCATATCTTCCTACGTAACCTCTGTTCTAATACGGCCCTTTCATGGTGTGAGCGTTCAAGACTCCTGATTGGAAGCAATCAGATTTAGTTGTGCAATCAGCTTAATGCTTGTTTCAAAAAGTGATCATTCGCAGGAGGCCTCGGTAATTTCCGGTGATGCTTCGAGAAATGTAAACTTCTTCCCCTGCTTGGCGATGCGCAAACGCTTTTCTTCTAGACAGAACTCAGTCATGTTAAGGCGGATGGGGTCTCCATCGCCCCTCGCTGACAACGGACAAGCTAGCCATTAAACGCCTTTGTGTGTAACATCAACACAAGTCCCCGGCAGATGGGGGATATTTGTGGCCCCACATTTGCTTGTGTTAGTCAAGTTGAATCTAAGTCGATGTAACACGTGTTCTGATTGGTTAGAAAGAAGGGAGATAATTCGTGTTGCGATCTTTTGCCGCTAGGGGATTTTACGAGAACCGGGAAATATGGCTCTATTGGAACAGAGGTTCGTAGGAAGATATGACAGAGAATGACTCTTGTGACATCAAACATTTCTAATTCCACTTTAATCTGACAGCAGCCATAGTTCAGACTACTATTTGTTTAATTGTCATGTGACGTCATTGGTACCAGAGGCGGTGTGGTATCCTAGTGGTTAAAGGGTTTGCTCGTCACACTGAAAACCTGGGTTCAATTCCCCACATGGGTACAATGTGTTGAGCCCATTTCTGGTGTCCCTCACTGTGATATTGCTGGAATATTGCTATAAGTGGCGTAAAACCAAACCTGACTCACTCACTCATTGGTGGCATGTTTCCTGCTTGTGACATCATCCAATATGTTGTTCTGTGATGTTACTGTTTTCATATCAGTGGCCTCTATCATGAAGTTCTTAATACAGACAGAAACTTATAGTGTTGTTTGTTGTTTTATTGGTAGGATTAGCTATCAAGTGTATCTATTTTAGCTATCAAAATGTTAATGTTATTTCGGATGCGGAGCTCCTCAATCTGTTCAACCTGCCCCAATTGTTGAGCCAGACGTCTGGCTTCCACATATGATAATGCCCTGAAAAATAGTGTTACTCTAAATTAAAATTTGGTACATGAGCAAATTGTTTCAATTTTATCCCCCCTGGTTTAAAACATGTTTTATCCTCCGGATCATTTACTGATTTTCAAAATTTGTATTTTTTCCATTTCTGTGGCAATGAGACTATTCATAGTGATGTGTTTGTCCAGACCGAATCTCTAAAACTAATAGGTATTCTTTCATGTAATTTCACACACATATAGACCAGGTGCTCAACTAATGCCATTTTCTATTTAGGCAATTTTTAGAACTCAAGTTTTCTGTTTTAAGTATTTTAATTTGACTTTGACTTAGCTCACAGGTATGTGATTTTCCAGAGTTTCAATAATACCAGTTTTCTACAGTACATACAATGACCAAATTGTAAACTGGTGCTATTGATCTTAACAGAATTTCAGCTTTTGTGTGATTTATAGTAACTCTTTGCTAAAGAGTATGAGACATTGTTACAAAGTTCCAAATCCCAAATTAAGTGAGCAATAGTGACTGAGTTTGCGTACCAGGCTATGTGCCATTGTGCCCCCATGAATAGTACAAATTGTTCGATATTCATTGTGAGGTAAGTATTTTATGTCACTTCTTCTATCATTACAGGTGATGTGTCAGAGGATATGGCTCAAGACTTACACGAAGCTCTTTGCCGATTTGTCAAATCATCTGAAAATCTGAAAATCAAAGAAGTGCGTGTTGTGATATATGATCCAAGGTGCTTTGACAAATTCACAAAAAAGTTTGGAAAACTGTGTGAAGGTACATATTTCATTTTATTACCTACAAAGGCGAAAATATCGGGTTCATATTTTTCATACAATGCCCTAGGGCAAAATATCACTTTGTCATGGTGACGTGACATCATGAACAATGCTATGATGTCACATTTCTGATTTCTGATGTTGCATTCTACATGCGTCGACAGCAGATAGGCAGCCTATGTTTGAAAGTAGATTTGGGTTTTTTTTCCTTCAATTTGACGACTTTGGTAATAAATAGAATATTATGTTTGTGCCCATATCATACTGAAAGATCCAACAAGCTTGCTGTTGTGATAAACTTGCCTTCCATCATTCTGTCCATTATCAACCATTACACTTCCATCTGTTCCATGAGACTAAAACTTTGTATGGATTGTGCCAGCAAGTGAACAGTTTCAAATCACATTTTGACTTTGTCAGAAATATTACTTTTGGTTGCCTGTTAACTTTTGACTTCTCTTCTCAGCTGAAAAATGAGAGTGAAACTGTAGCAGGATGAGTGTTTAAAAATATGGACCCCCCGTAAAGATTTATGACAGTATAAAGTGGCCATCACACGGCAAACTAAAGTTTGACAACTCATGTTGTTCAAATTTTAAAAGTCGTCAAACTCGCATTTTCACATTTCAAACACATGTTGTCAAACTTTCGTGTCATTTGAGGGATGCCATTTTTGTAGGTCGAGTTGACCATACAACCAAAACATCACGTGATTTGGAGTGCGATTGGTTGTTTCTGAATAACACGAGTTTGACAACACTTCAAGTAGTATATACAATGGGGGTTCTGGACCAGTTCCAACCAAAGCCTCTGCAAAGCCTTATTTCACAAGTAAGGCTTTTGTTGGACCCTTAGCTCTTGCTACCATTACCCCTACTATAAAAAAGTTTGGGGGTACGAACCCATGAATGGACGTGATGAATGGAATGAAAGACGTGATGAAGGTACCGTTGTTCCTAATTTCAGAGACATAGCCCTCTTTGTCTATTGAGATATAAGGTGCGGTGATGGCCACGTTGATCACCCATTTGGGCTCCTTTAAGTCTGCCAGGTCCTGCCGTATGTACACACCGTTTTTAAATAATAGGACGTACAAGGTGTCTTCCCCACCAGGTTGATCGAATCCCTCCGTGTCCCCTAAGTCGTTAAGTGTAGTGTTGGGGTGAATCCAAGACATTGCTATAATACTATTATGATATAATTTCCAACTGGTTTTCTGATAATAGTTCAGGGGTGAACTTCACCCCCATGAAGTGTATGTTGTCAGGTAGGAAGATCTTGGTTAGTTATATCGTGTTTTCCACGATCACGGTGACACCCTGCAGACTGGTGTTGGAGCCGACACCCATCCGCACGTAAACTGTGCAAACGTGATACTGGTGTCGTTTCCCCACCGAGTTTGACCCCTTCACGATCTTCGACATCATTCCCCGATGATTCCCCTAGGTAGACTTTGATGATCAGTGTTGAGTTAAGCGGTAGACTCTCCAGTATCCTGACCACGCCTTCAAATTCAGACACCAACTGCAATGTCATCGCTTTGTATGCCCACTTTACTTTCGATAGCATGTGGGCTGCCATACTGTTGAGTGGGCTGATGACTACGCCGATCTCTGAGTGGGGCGTAAAGCCACGAGCAGGGTTCCATTGTTAACGACTTTGTTTAGGTGGTTGTCTTTGTTATCCCGTGAACACGTGGGGGGAGCCGAGCTCCTAATATTGAGAAACCAGTCGTCTTTATCTGGTAACAACACCCACTTGTCATCTTCGGTGAAGACGAAAGCGATATGGCTTGTTTGGCGGCGGTAGTGCTCTCAACATCGTCTAAGTCGAACAGTTTGCCACCGAGCGATGGGTATATTATCCATTTATCATCCCGGTGGTGACTAGGTGTACTTAGTGTTGACTACCGCTCTTGTGGTATCTACTATATCACCTAGGGCTCCACGGAGGGGACTTCAACTGGCGTTTGTAAATGTTGTTTTTCCATTGTAAGCCGTTACAGTGTGCCATCTACTCGGGGCGCCGAAAGCGTGTGTCCCCGAGGTCGGAGATCCCCACATTGGCGCATTTTTCACCCGGGCCCGCTTGTGCTGGTCATTTTATGTGAAGCGTTAAGCTGAGGTATCCTATATTGGCGGGATTATGATTTATATCTAACACCGATATTATCAGCTCAGGTATGTTGCCCTGAGTCAACCTCTTATACTGCCGCGGTGAAAGCGACTCCGTTCTACCGTCGTTGTATTTCTCCGCTTTCACAGATGCGGCTCTCAGTATAGTGGAAGGGTGACCCCTTGAATGTTATGCGTTGTGCTCACCTGGCGAGATGAATGTACAGCTCTCGCACGGTACTAGGTCGGGTAACTTCATGCCTGTGACGGTTGTTGTTGGTTTTGTCTCGTCAGGCGATATACCTAGTGTCCTCGCCAATGGTCGACCGAGCCTCAAGGACTTTCTTCCGTTGTTGATTAACACCACTGTACCGTTTGAGTCGTTCATCTTGAGTTCGGCTCCCAGGGGTTTGAAGACCTTGTCGCTTAGCGAGCACACGCTGTAGTAGCCGTCAGTTATCTGGCTGCGAGCTCCACTGACAAACAGCTTATTGTTGCTGGCGTTGATGTTAGTCCATTGCGGTAGGTAGGTGATATCACAGAGTGCGACTTCGAGTTGACCCGACGTGTTATCGATCGCGTGCGTCAGCTGAACAGCCTCACCGCTCGTTATTCCTGGGAGTGTTATGTACATGTTAGAGTATATATGCTCATTATATAATAGTTTTAAAATGTACTCCCCTGGAATGTTTTACCCTAAACTGGACATAGATTTCTCCCCCATGAAGATAGTAGTCGCTGATGGGGGGCATTTCGACGCCCAGTTCATAGATGTGTTTGACAAGTATAAACCAACTGCAATGTCACGTTTTGTATGCCCACTTTACTCGATAGCATGTGGGCTGCCATACTGTTGAGAGGGCTGATGACTACGCTACGTCTCTGAGTCGGGACGTAAGCCACGAGCAGGGTTCCGTTGTTAACGACTTTGTTTAGGTGGTTGTCTTTGTTATCCGTGAACACGTAGGGGGAGCCGAGCCTAATATTGAGAAACCAGTCGTCTTTATCTGGTAACAACACCCACTTGTCATCTTCGGTGAAGACGAGCGTATATGGCTTGTTTCGGGCGACGGTAGTGCTCTCAACATCGTCTAAGTCGAACAGTTTGCCACCGAACGATGGGTATATTATCCATTTATCATCCCCGGTGGTGACTAGGGTGTACTTAGTGTTGACTACCGCTCTTGTGGTATCTACTATATCACCTAGGGCTCCACCGGAGGGGACTTCAACGCGTTTGTAAATGTTGTTTTTCCATTGTAAGCCGTACAGTGTGCCATCTACTCCGGGAGCGTCGAAACCGCGTGTGTCCCCGAGGTCGGAGATCCCCACATTGACGCATTTTTTCACCCCGGGCCCTTGTGCGCTGGTCATTTTATGTGAAGCGTTAAGCTGAGGTATCCTATATTGACGGGATTATGATTTATATCTAACACCGATATTATCAGCTCAGGTATGTTGCCCTGAGTCAACCTCTTATACTGCCGCGGTGAAAACGACTCCGTTCTACCGTCGTTGTATTTCTCCGCTTTCACAGGTAACGGCTCTCAGTATAGTGGAAGGGTGACCCCTTGAATGTTGCACGTTGTGCTCACCTGGCGAGATGAATGTACAGCTCTCGGCACGGTACTAGGTCGGGTAACTTCATGCCTGTGGACGGTTGTTGTTGGTTTTATCTCGCCAGGCGATATACCTAGTGTCCTCGCCAATGGTCGACCGAGCCTCAAGGACTTTCTTCCGTTGTTGATTAACACCACTGTACCGTTTGAGTCGTTCATCTTGAGTTCGGCCCCAGGGGTTTGAAGACCTTGCTTAAAGCTAGCGAGCACACGCTGTAGTAGCCGGCCAGTTATCTGGCTGCGAGCTCCACTGACGAACAGCTTATTGTTGCTGGCGTTGATGTTAGTCCATTGCGGTAGGTAGGTGATATCACAGAGTGCGACTTCGAGTTGACCCGATGTGTTATCGATCGCGTGCGTCAGCTGAACAGCCTCACCGCTCGTTATTCCTGGGAGTGTTATGTACATGTTAGAGTATATATGCTCATTATATAATAGTTTTAAAATGTACTCCCCTGGAATGTTTTACCCTAAACTGGACATAGATTTCTCCCCCATGAAGATAGTAGTCGCTGATGGGGGGCATTTCGACGCCCAGTTCATAGATGTGTTTGACAAGTATAAATTTTCGGTGACTAACGCTAAGGTAGTTCATGCTTGGTTCAACAACCCGATGCAGTTCTGGCAGAATCAACTCAACTTCGCCGTGTGGTGTGCTACAACGGGGTGTGGTGTGACATTGACCGACACTCGGCGTGGACCGCTGAGTCAGTCTGTGTTCACGTTCCACGTGTACTACCAGATTAGGCGTATCCTCAAAGAAATCAGTGCTCCGGTCCCACAGGACAATGCATGGGACGCAGTAAACAAGTACGATAGGCGGGCCTACGAACGTATTTGCAACGAATTCGAACTGAACCCGAAGACGGATTGGCGTTTGCCGGGGCCGAACCACGGGTTGGGTATCCCCATCGTTCACAACATGCACCTCGTGGATGCCAGCGAGAAGTTGAAAGAATGGGGATACAAGTCGTATCATCACCTCACAACCAACGAGTGGGATGACCGTTACATGGCTTTCGACAACAGCAAGGATTACCGAGTCTGGAGGTTTGAGCAGGGGGCAGCGGATGACTGGAAAAAGTTCATGCTGGACACGCCGAAAGGGTTTACTCGTGCCGGGTAATCAGGTTAAACGACTCGATTGAACGCATACGTGTGGGGCTGTTGCGCGCAGAGGCATAACGCGCTCCAACATCCTCGGTAAGGGGACTGCTTACGATGCTCAGAAACAGTTTGTTGTTAACGTTGAGGATGCTATCAAT